TAGAATATTCTGTAAATATCTGTGAAATCCATTTGTTCTAGGGCATAGATTAAGTCCATTGTTTCTTTGCTGACTTTCTGTCTTGTTGACCTGGCTAGTGCTGTCAGCAGAGCACTGAAACCCCCCACTACTGTCTGTTGCTGTCTGTCTCCTTCCTTAGGTCTAGTAGCAATGGTTTTATAAGTTTGGGAGCACCAGTGTTAGGTGCATACATTTTTAGGGTTATGATATTTTCCTGTTGGACTAGTACTTTTATCAGTATATAATTACCTCTTTGTCTTTTCTAAAACTGTTGTTGCTTTACAGTCTGTTTTGTCTAATATAAAAATAGCTACCCCTGCTTGCTTTTGGTGTCTGTTTCCATGCAATATCTTTTTTCCACCCCTTTATCTTAAGTTTATGTGAGTCCTTTTGAGTTAGGTGTTTCTCTTGAAGTCAGCAGAAACTTGGTTGGTGAATTCTTATCCATTCTGCCATTCTGTATCTTTTAAGTGGAGCATTTAGGCCATTTACATTCAGCATTAGTGTTAAGATATAAGGTACTATTCTATTTATTGTGGTTGGTTGTTGTCTGAATGCCTTTTTTTCTCATTGTGTTACTGTTTTATAGGCCATGTGAGATTTATGATTTAAGGAGGTTCTATTTTGGTATATTTCCATGTTTTGTTTCAAGATTTAGAATTCCTTTTAGCAATTCTTGTAGTGCAGGCTTGGTAGTGGTGAATTCTCTCAGCATTTGTCTGTCTGAAAGAGACTATTTCTCCTTCATTTGTGAAGCTTAGTTTTGCTGGATACAAAATTCTTGGCTGATAATTATTTTGTTTAAGGAGGCTAAAGATAGGACCCCATTCCCTTCTAGTTTATATTATTTCCACTGAGAAATCTGCTGTTAATCTGATAGGTTTTCCTTTATAGGTTACCTGATGCTTTTGCCCCTAGCTCTTAAGATTCTTTCCATTGTCCTAACTTTAGATAACCTGGTAACTATGTGCCCAGATGATGATCTTTTTGCATTAAATTTCCCAGGTGTTCTTTGAGCTTCTTGTTTTTAGATATTTAGATCTCTAGCAATGTCAGGTAATTTTTTAACAATTATTTTCAAAAATAAGTTTTTTAAACTTTTATATTTTTCCTCTTGCTCAGGAGCACCCATTATTCTTGAGTTTGGCTGTTTAACATAATCCCAAACTTCTCTGAGGCTTTGTTCATTACAATTTTTTTCCTTTGTCTTTGTCAGATTGGGTTAACTTGAAAGCCTTGTCTTCAGGTCTGAAGTTCTTCTGCTTGTTTCATTCAGTCGTTGAAACTTTCCAGTGTATTTTCCATTTCTCTAAGTGCATCTTTAATTTCCAGAAGTTGTGATTGTCTTTTACTTATGCTAATTATCTGGAGATTTTTTTCATTCATATCCTGTATTATTTTATAAATTTCTTTTAATTGGTATTTACCTTTCTTGTGCCTCCTCGAGTAGCTTAATCATCAACCTTCTAAATTTTTTTTCTAGAAATTCAGAGATTTATTCTTGGTTTGTATTCACTGCTGGTGAGCTTGTGTGATCTTTTAAGGTTGTTAAATAACCTTGTTTTGTCATATTACCAGAATTGTTTTCCTGGTTCCTTCTCATTTGAGCAGACCATGTCAGAGGGAAAATCTGGGACTTAAGGACTGCTGTTCAGATTCTTTTGTCCCAAGGGGAGATCCTTTGATATGGTGCTCTCCTCCTTCCCCTCAGAACGGGACTTCCTGAAACCTGGAAAACAGTGATTGTTACTGTTCTTCAGGGTCTAGCCACCCACCCAGCAGAGCTACCAGGCTCTGGGCTGGTTCTGGGGAGTGTCTGAAAAGAGTCCTGTGATGTGATTTTCTTTGAGTCTCTCAGCCAGGGATACTAGCACCTGCCCTGGTGGAGGCAGCAGGGGAGTGAAGTGGACTCTGAGTGTCCTGGCTTGCGGTTTTGTTTAGTGTGCTGGTTTTCTCAAATGCTGGGTATGCTAGCAGTGAAGTTGTCATGTGGACAGACTCGGGACCTCTGGCTAGCCAGGATATTATAGGCAGCGGAAGTAGCTGTTGTTTTCTTTTCTTCTCGGGGCAGGGTTGTTCTGTTATGTGTTGCTGTAATGCTTTGAGTTGGTTGGCCTCCAGCCTGGAGGTGGCACTACGAAGAGAGCAACAGCTGCCGTAGAATAGAGAGGATACCAGCTTGCCCTAAGGTTGCCTGGATAAGTATTCCTGTTTCTTAGGGCCGTAGAGCTCCCATGAGATTATGGCTTTTGACTTTGAATACCAGGGCAGGTAGAGGAAGACCATCAGGTGGAGGCAGGGTTAGGTGCGTCTGAGCTCAGAGCTTGTTATGGCTGCTGTGGGTGATGGGGGTGTGGTTCTCAGGCTTATGAAGCTACATTCCCAGAGGGATTATGGCTGCCTCTGCTGTATCATACAGGACACCAGGAAGGTGGGGCAAAGCTGGCAGTCACAGACCTCACCCAGCTTCCACGCAGGTAACAAGGCCAGTCTCACTCCCACCGTGCTCCCCCAGCGTCCAACAGAGCTAAATTTATATCCAGGCCTCTAGTGGGCAGGACTGAGATCCGGCCTCAGGCTACAAGCCTCCCTGCTGAGAAACGGAACAGGACTTTCAGACCTTGCAGGCCTGTAACGGCTTCTATGCTCCTATCTGCGCTTCCCATTTCCCCTGCCCCCCTGCCCTGGATTCTGCCCAGGAAAATTCACCATCAGTCAGATTATTACAAAGTTCAGCTGGAAGTCTCCTTCTCCCTGTGGCTGGCCCTCCTCTGGTTCCACTGCCTGCCCTCCCCCAAGACCCTGTGAAATACAGTCAGAAGTGGCTACCCTGGGTTTCCCTGGGGCCTGGGAGTACCTGCGGGGCTCTTCCCACTGCTTCTATTACTTTCATATTTCACTTGGCTCTCTAAATTTATTTCAGCTCTAGGTGCGGTTAAATCCTTCCCCCATGATCAGGATTTTTGGGTTCCCCAGTGGGGATGAGGGTTTGGAAGTGCTTTCCCCCTCTTATACTTTGGACGGTTTTTTTGGCTGTCTCAAAATGTTTGCAGTGACAAGCCACTTCTTTCAAAGGGTCTGTGAATTCTTTTGGTTTTCCTGGCAAAAGTTCATGATGTGAGTCTCCACATGCTGTCGTGTCCACCCACGTGGGAATGTTCGTCCTGCCTCCTACTTGCCATTTTCCCTCTGGAAAAAATAAAAGTCAGCTTCTTCTCTTTAGGCTGACATTCTTAATTCTGGAAATCAATGCTGATGAAGTCCAAGAGTTCCTTATGGAAAGGTGGTTTGGAGAGTGAGGCTCCCTTGGTCCTCCCAGCCTTGTCTAGCTTCTGTGTGACTGTGATCCACGGGTGAGCCCAGGTGAGACAAGCAGAGGAATAATACAGATTTCCCACGGAATCCAGAGAAAGAACACGTCTGCTGTTTTCAGCCACTGAGTTTTGGGGTGATGGTAGATAACTGAAACATATCTCCAGATTCCACGTTTGAAGGATTGCAGGCATCGGTCAGTGTCAGCCTTTCCAGGATCATTTGGTTTGATTCAGGCCAGACCTGCTGCCTTTTGAACAGGAGATAAATTTTTCCAAATTTTTGGTCATCGCTCGAGTTTTGTGTTCAGAGTACACACGCCTATTTTCTTACTTGCCATTATGGACCAGATTATGCCTCCCTCCTCTGCGCCCCCGTCGGATTCATATGTCGGGGCCTTAACTCCCAATGTGACTGCATTTAGAGGTAGGGTCTTTAAAGAGGTGATCAAGGTTAAATGGAGTCCTAAGGGTGGGGCCCTGACTCAAGAGGACTGGCGTCTCCTTTTAAGAGAAAAGAGAGAGGCCAAGCGTAGGCCTGGTGAGAAGATGTCTGTCTGCAAGCCAAGGAGAGAAACTTCTGGAGAAACCAAACCTGGCAACACCACCTGGACCTCAGGCTTCCAGCCTCTGGAGATGGGAGGACACGAAATTCTGTGGCTTAGGCCACTCAGCATGTGATAGTTGTTATGGCAGCTATAGCAGACGAATACACTAGCATTTGAGCACAAATCAAAGAGACCTCTGCAAGAGCCCTCTTGGGGCTGCTGCTCAGGCTGTGATTTTTGGCTTGAACTTCCTTTTCCAACATCTTTTACAGCAAACGAAGAAAGAAATTCATGTAATCTTTGTTGACTGTACCCCTGAACAAGGCTGAATGTTTCTGAGTCACTCTTTCCATCTCAAACTTGGGTTTTAAACCAAATAAGTAATATTTATTCTATTGTCTTCTTATTAAGGAATCTATAGGTTCATGGTTTGGAAAAAATGGAAAAGAAGAAGAAAGTAAAATTACCTGTGATTATGATCACTGGTATGAAGTTCTCTGTGTGTGTGTGTGTGTGTGTGCATGCACACGCACGCTTGTATGTATTTGGAGACGGAGTCTTGCTCTCTGTCACCCAGGCTGTGGTGCAGTGGTGCAGTCATGTCTCACTGCAGCCTCAAACTCCTGGGTTCAAGGGTTCCTCCTGCTTCACCCACCTAAGTAGCTGACTCCAGGTGTGCAACACCATGTCTGGATATTTACAAAGTTTTTTAGAGACAGGGTCTTGCTATGTTACCTAGGCTGGTCTTGAACTCCTGGCCTCAAGCCATCCTTCTGCTTCAGTCTCCGGAGTCAGTAGGATTACAGGTGTGAGTCACTGAACCTGGCTACATTTTTTTTTTTTTTTTTTCTGAGACGGAGTCTCGCTGTCACCAGGGTGGACTGCAGTGGTGCAGTCTCAGCTCACTGCAACCTCTGCCTTTCAGATTCAAGCGATTCTCCTGCCTCAGCCTCCTGAGTAGCTGGGACTACAGGTATGTTCCACCACACCCAGCTAATTTTGTGTATTTTTAGTAGAGAAGGGGTTTCACCACGTTGGCCACAACAGTCTCAATCTCTTGACCTCAAGAGATTAATTAAGAGCAATCGCCTCAGGTATCTCCATCGCTCCACAGCACTCATTCCTTTCGTGAGATGTCATTTATTAAGTGGTTACAACGCTGCACGTGCTGTACAAGAGTCTGGACATACAAAAGTAGTATTGGACCCTCTGGGGTCTCATAATCGTGTAGGGGGAGGGAATACAAATACAACTCAGCAAAGAATGGTAGCAGTATCTTAGGATACTGTAACTGTGTGCTCCAGCCCCAAGGACTGGAGAAACACCTTTTCATGGAAGTCAGGGCAGAGCTGGGTGTGGAGAGAGCTGAGCCTGTGTGGACCTCGGATATATGCTCTGGTGCTGGGGGAGGACAGTAAAGTCGGACACAGACAGCAGCAGCAGTCTGGCCCCAAAGCAGAAGCAGCATCCTGCACCGTCTCCCCTTGCAATGAACGAGTACGCACAGGAAGACAACCACAGGCTTCGCCACGCTTCAGTGGATCCCTTCACCGGAGAATTTACAGAGCATGTGCCGCGCCTGAGCAAGCCGGTAAATTCTCTCCTTAAGGATTCTTCTCCTGGTGGCCGTCTCACTCTGCTCTTGAAGCAACCAGGAATAGCGATCTTTTTCCTGCAGTATCTGCATCATGGCTTTCTGCAGCCAGTCACCATTCTCTCGGAGCATAAAATACTGAATTATGAATGGGATCTGGTTGGCGAGACGTTTGCTGGTCTCCTGGAAGAGGGAGGAAGAAGGGTTTGTTGGAGTGGTCTCAGTCCAAGGTCTGTGGTTGGGGAGGGAAGGAAGGCGTGGTGTTCTCGAGTGCACATGTGGTTGCCTTGCTAACTCTTGGTGGTCCTGCCCACCTCCACTCCAGTGGTCAGCATCAAACCCCATGAAGGCTGTATCTGCACTGACCCCTCTTTACTTCCAGGTACCCCCTCTAGCACTGAGAACCCCCCTGGTAGGCTAGCAAGCCCATACCACCTCTGGGCATCCCCAGAGCTCCTCCCTGCTAGAGAGACCCCCAGCCCAGGACTCCCTTGGCTCCCTTCTGGGGTGCATCAGGGCCGTTTCAAATCCTCCCCTCATTCCATCTTCGTCAGCACAGCCAGTCCTGGCAGCCAGATGCCCATGGCTGGAAAACCACTCTCTATCCTGATGGAGAAAGGGCTTCGGGAGAGAGGGGTCTGTGCAGTTTTAAAGCTATTTTTCCTTCCTGGGCACCCTGACACTTGCATGTTGGATGGAGGGCCAGAAGCCAAAAAGTTCACTGGGTCACAAAATCTAGGGAAAGGAAATTTCATTCCTATCTTGTGGGGCTGGCGAGTGTAACATGTTAGTGCCTTCTGCACACCAAGGAAAGCCGACTTAGAGCCATTATTGTTGACGTTTGCTGTCTTTTGCTGTATTCTGATCATAGCAATTTTGTAATTCATGTACTGCATGTGAAATATGAAGAATTTTGGGGTCAGAATTAATTTTGAGTACATGCTCTGCCACTTTAAAAATTGATTGTGGGCAAATTAATTAAAGGTACCTTCACAGGGTTCACGTAAAATTATAAATGAGAAGATATATGAGTAGTTTATCATTGTACAAAAGGGCTTAACGCACTGAAGTGGGCCCTCCCTCCACCCCTCAGTAAAGCCTCTCTAGGTTAGAATAGCCCTTGCTCAGCTCTGCACATGCCAGAGAGCACTGCTCCTGCCCCTTCCCCAGAAACTCACCAAGAAGTAGGCGTTCAGGTGGACACCTATTTCGGTAATGGAGGAAACAGAAGACCCATTGCTGGAGAAATGAGAGTCCCCCTTTGTATTCTGTAAAGGCTTCCCCACTGGGTTAAAAATCTCTTCTCGGACTTTCTTCAGAACAACGCTGTAAATCTGATCTTGACAAAACACCATCTGCTCCATTCGGAACTGCAGGCGGACCATGCTCTCTGCCTTTTCTGCGTGTTTCATTTTTATATCTTCAATCTTGCTCTGGTTAGATGAGAAGGACAAGCACATCACTTCTTTTTCCTCTTTCCTGTTGGCTTACACAGATTCAGAAGTACTATTATGCTGAACTCAGAATTAAAACTCATCCAAGCTCAAAGAAGTGCTTAGACTCGAAACCATACTTTTTAGAAAGTGCCACTTCGCCCTTTCTGTCCTTAGCAACCCAGTCTCCTCACTCCCCTGCAACATGCCTTCTCTCCTGCCCTTCCTTTCTCTCTGCCCATCCCTAGTCCCTCGCACACCACCAGCTTTCTGCTCCCTCAGCAGGATCAGGCTTAGTCCATACTGTGGGGACGGTGTCAGTCATTCCTGGGGCTCTGCTTCTGCTGGAATGGTTCCAGTGCTGACGAACACTGGGGAATAGTGTGATATGTGTGTTTCCCAGGAATCACCCATGCAGTCAAGGAAGAAAGAGGTTGGCCGGGTGCAGTGGCTCATGCCTGTAATCTCAGCACTTTGGGAGGCCAAGCATGTGGATTACTTGAGGTCAGGAGTTTGAGATTAGCCTGACCAATGTGAAACCCCTTCTCTACTAAAAAATAGAAAAATTAGCCAGGCGTGGTGGTGTACACCTGTAATCCCAGCTACTTGGGAGGCTGAGGCAGGAGAATGGCTTGAAACCTGGAGGTGGAGGTTGCAGTGAGCCAAGATCACACCATTGCACTCCAGCCTGGGCAACAAGAGTGAAACTCCATCTCAAAAAGGCTGGACATGGTGGCTCATGCCTGTAATCCTGACACTTTGGGAGGCTGAGGCAGTGGATTACCTGAAGTCAGGAGTTGGAGACCAGCCTGGCCAGAATGGTGAAACCCTGTCTCTACTAAAAATACAAAAATTGGCCAGGTGTAGTGGCAGGCACTTGTAATCCCAGCTACTCGGGAGGCTGAGGCAGGAAAATTGCTTGAACCCAGGAGATGGAGGTTGCAGTGAGCCAAGATGGAACCACTGCACTCCAGCCTGGGTGACAGAGCGAGATTCCATTTCAAAAAAAAAAAAAAAAAGGAAAGAAAGAGGTGATGTAGCAGAGAAGAGTCACTGCCACGGACTGAATGTTTGTATCCCCCACCCCCCAATTTACATGTTGAAACTAAAGCAGAAAGGTACCGGTATTAGGAGGTGGGAGGCAGTTAGTCATGAAGGGAAGCCTCATGAATGGGACTGAGGCCCTTCCTTATAAAGGAACCCCAGAGAGCTCTTTCCACCATGTGAGAGTACACAAGGTGGTGGTGTCTGTCCACAACCTGACCAGGCCCACACACTGATCTCTCAGCCTCCAGGACCATGAGAAACAAATTTCTATTGTTAATAAGCCACCCCCAATCTGCGGGACTCTGATAGAAGCTTGAACTAAAACGGTCATGTCTTGGCTTTAAGTTTCCTTTTTCTTTTTGTTTTTCTTGAGATGGAGTCTCACTCTGTTGCCCAGGCTGGAGTGCAGTGGCACGATCTTGGCTCACTGCAACCTCTGCCTCCTGGGTTCAAGTGATTTCTGGCTAATTTTTATATCTTTATTAAATACAGGGTTTCACCATTTTGGCCAGGCTTGTCTCAAACTCTGCCCGCTTGGCCTCCCTAAGTGCTAGGATTATAGGTGTGAGCCCCCGTGCCCGGCCCAGGCTTTTGAGTTTCAAACAGACTTTTTAAAAGTGAAAGCAGAAGTGGTGGCTTGAGAGTGAGAGGGTGAGTTTCAGAGGTGAAGTTTCATGGGTGCTGGTTTTTTTCTTTCTTTTTTTTTTTTTTTTTTTTTTAGTGTATGTGGCAACTGTGAAAAAAAAATAGAATCTTGGGACCCAATACTTACTACGCCAAAGGGAAAGGGAAGGTTGGGGACTGGGTCACACAATAACTGCGTTCCTTTTGTTCCCAAACAGCAGCTGTGATTTCACATGAGTACTTTATCCCATGTAAAATGTAGATTTACTGAGCTTGAGATGAACGCATGATTGACTTTCCCTCCACACCTTTCCTTCTGCATATAAATGTAGATTCACTGAGTGCTGGTCAGAGCCTCACAGGAGTGTGACCTCTGCCTCATTGCCTACTCTCCTTCCTTTTTACTTCCCCACCTGCTCGCTCTATACCTTTAAATACTGAAGTTCCCCTACACCCTCTTTAGGAAAGGCACAGGTTTCAGATCACACTGGGACTTGCGTTTCTTTTTCCCAGGTGTGTCCTTGGCCTGGGTGAAATAAACATCAGATGGAGATGGATCTGCCTCAGTCACTTTTCGGTTTATACAACCATAGACAATGGACCCTCTAGGAGCAGAATTGGCCTGTGCCTCCCTCCTCAAGATTTGTGACACAGGGGGCAACAAGACCCCAGGCTCTGATGTGGCTGTGCGGGCCATGGCTTTGGGGAGCCCCGCAGGTTCCGGCCTGGAGCCAGAAGCTGCTGCAAGGCTGTGTGTACCCAAGGGTGGCATGAAAGACGCAAAGGCCCTTGGTGGACGCCCGAATTCCTGTGGCCTAGAGCAGTCGGGCTGGCCGGAGCGCTTCCTGTGTCCTGGCAGGGCTGGGCAGGAGCTCAGGGACCAAGGGGTCCAAGGCCCGGGAAGGACAATGAACATCTTGGTGGTTGGGGACCAGGCAGGTCACCCACCTCATGAGTAGGCAGCCGGGACCCAGACACAGCCCCTGAGAAAGTGGGTGAGTCAGAACTGAGATTTAATTTTCACCAACAGGCAAAAAGGGTGACAGAAGAAATTAATTTACGTTACAGAAAAGTGATGGAAACTGTCTTTCTCGCTTGCCTGCACTATGGAATGAGGTTTTAGTCCAACAGCCCAGGCCTGGGAGGAAGAGAAATTTTATCTGCAGCCCACGAGGCACGTCCCCTCTCTTGGCTTTGCTGAGGGGTAACTCAGGGTGAAGGAGACAGAGTTGTTAAGTAGAAACCCACAGAGCTATGGCAACATCTTCGAGTCAAACGTACACATATGGGAGCAGGAATAGTAGACACTGCTGTGCTTTGTGCTTGAAAAAGATTCAGCCTACCAGCCAGTCCTCAGTGGAGCGCCACGTCCTGCGTGAGGTCATGCAGAACGGATGGCAGGGCACAGGCCTCCTCTCACTTCTGGGGAGTGAAGCCTACTCCTGAGCAGAAGCCGAGCAGGCAGGTGCTCCCAGAGTCGCCAGCCCCACCAGACCCCCAAACCCCGCCAGTCCCCACAGCCCCCAGCCCTGCCAGCCAGCCATTGCATCCTTCGCCTCATGGTTCTAAACCACAGTGAATATTCAACATCTCTCAAAGGTTGAACAGCCAGTGGTCCAGGCGACCGGCAAGTGAGCTCTGAGCACCTACCTGAGCTGTTTGGTTAAGGTTGAGGAATTCGCTAAAATGCTTTTTGGCTATGTTAATGAAAGCTTGCTGGACAATTTCTGACCAAAAAAAAAAAAAAAAAAAAGAAAAAGAAGAAAACATCAGTAAAATGCAAGCAGAAATAAAACTGGTTAAAGACACAGGGAGGGTAACTGATGATACACTGACCCATTCCAGGAGACTGAGTTCCCTAGAGCTGCAGACCAAGTCAGGAGAGGGGGACATCATTCCAGGGACAAAGACAGTCCAGCCCCCATGCAGCCTGGGCAGGTCCTGTCCAGTTCCCATGCCTGTGTTCTCACCATGTTAGCATCTGACTATTCCTTTCATCAGGGGCCCCCAACCCCTGGGCTGGATCAGTACCAGTCCATGGCCTGCTAGGAATTGGGACGAGCAGCAGGAGTGTGCAGTGAGCTAGGGAGCATTGCTTCCTGAGCTCCCCTCCTGTCAGATCTGTGGTGGCGTCAGTCTCATAGGAGCACAAACCCTACTGTGAACTGCGCACGCGAGGCATCTGGGCTGTGCGCTCCTTATGAGAATCTCATGCCTGACCGTCTGTCACTGTCTCCATCACCCTCGGGTGGGACCGCTGAGTTGTAGGAAAACAAGCTGAGGGCTCCCAGTGATTCTACATGACGGTGAGTCGTAGGATTGTATTATTATATATTACAATGTCATAATAATAGAAATAAAGTGCACAACGCATGTCATGCAATGGATCGTCCCCAAACCATCCCTCTTACCCTTGACCAGTCTGTGGAAAAATTGTCCTTCATGAAACCAGTCTCTGGTGCTAAAAAGGTTGGGGACCGCTGACTTACACAGCTGTATCGGGAGCTGTGTATGATACAGATGAAGTGCACTGTACCCCAGGCCTTCCCTGCAAAGACGAGAAGCCATCCTTGCCACTTCCTCTATGTGTTTGAAGGACAGCGATGGAAAGTACCTCTGGCACTCAGTGTGCTTTCCCATCTCCTGGAAACCCCAGTACAAGTTCTCAGGCAGGAGGTCAGAATCTGCAGCTCTGACCAGCTCCCAGGTCTTGCCAGTGCTGCTGGCTCGAAGACCACTCTGAGTAGCAATCTAGCACACCACTGACAGGGCCTGCAGGCTGTGTTTGGTAAGTCCACTCCAAGCTCTCCCTGCAGGGTATTGGGGTCTATGGAAGGTACGAGAGTGATGGTTTGGGAGTCCTGCAGGGAAGTCCTCACCCACGGCTTTCTGGAGCATGCTGAGGGCGGGCTCCACCAGCTGCTGGATGTACTGGTGCACGACGGTCTCAAACGTCCTGTAGTTGACAAATCCCAGAAGCTCCCTGCCTCGATACTGCTTTTCATACTTTTCAACCTCTTCATGAATAATATTTTTAACTGCAACATCAAACAGACCACCGTGGTAAATTCTAATAGCTCTGAAGACGTCCTAAAGCTGGCAACAGTTTTTTGAAGGCTTGCTCCCCACTGTACGCAGAGTCAGTGTTGCAAAGTGGAGTTTTGTTCACAATGAGAAAAATATTCATGGTCTAATAACCGGAGTTTGAGAAATATTGACTTTTTGGAAACAAAAATCTTATTCTATGAAAAGATTTAAATAATAAATAAAATGTGTTTCAGTTGAAAGTCATGACCCCAAGAGAGAAGTTACTGTTTATAACTGGGAGGAAAAATCTGCTCAGAGGCCAGGTGTGGTGGCTCATGCCTATAATCTCATCTCTTTGGGATGTGGAGGTGGGAGAATCACTTGGGGCCAGGAGTTCGAGACCAACCTGGGCAACATAGCAAGACCCCATCTCTACAAAAACAAACAAGATTAGCCAGGCATGGTGGAGGCTGAGGCAAGAGGATCCCTTGAATCCAGGAGTTCGAGGCTGCACTGAGCCATGATCACACCATTGCACTCCAGCCTGGGAGACAGTGAGAGCCTGTTTCTGAAAAATAAAACAAAAATAAAAACAACAATCTGATCAGTTAAAGGAATATGGAAACAATCGTGTACTACTCACCTGCCAAGCATACAGCTGCAGATTAAAGTGGGAGGGATCTTACCACGGAGGTAAACAGTGCTGTTTTCTTAAGTGCCAGAACAAAAACACAGCAGCACACTCACCGTGTCCCCACCCAAATCTCATCTCGAATTGTAACCCCATGTATCAAGGGACTGGATCATGGGGGTGGTTTTCCCCTGCTGCTCTCATGATAGTGAGTGAGTTCTCACAGGATCTGATAGTGACTCACATCTGTATTTGCAGCATTTTGGGAGGCGGGCAGATCACCTGAGTTCAGGAGACAGGCCTGGTCTTGATGTATTTTTAGTAAAGATGTGGTGAAATTAGCTGGGCATGGTGGTACACAACTGTAATCCCAGCTACTCGGGAGGCTAAGCCAGGAGAATTGCTTGAACCTGGGAGGCTGAGACTGCAGTGAGCTGAGATCTGGGCAACAAGAGTGAAACTCTGTCTCTAAATAGTTTGGCAGCTGTCCCCTTGCTCTCTCTCCTGCTGCCTTGTGAAGAACGTGCTTGCTTCTCCTTTGCTTTCTGCTCAGATCGTAAGTTTTCTGAGGCCTCCCCAGCCATGTGGAACTGTGAGTCCATTTAACTTCCTTTCTTTATAAATTACCCAGTCTCAGGTAGTTTTTTATAGCAGTATGAAAATGGACACACACACACACACACACACACACACACACACACACACCCCTACGGGCACCTGGGCTGGAGCACATGGGGATTAGAACTTTTCCAGATGAAGCCACGAGGCTCTTATCAAACCAGGAATCTATCTCTCTGGTCTTGAATTAGGGCAAAGAGAAAGGCGATTGGGATGAGTGGAATTGTTTGGGTGACGGGCACATTTTAGCAGTTAAAAACTGCCACCTCACCTAGTCTTCACTTACTGCTAAAACTAGGTCATCACATCCCAGACCTTCCGGGGCGGGGGGGGGACGGTAAATAATTTCACGTGAATTCCCCTCTACCCTGGTCCCCTAGCACCCATGCCAAGCTCTGATTCAATATTACCAAAATGAATAAGCATCCACATCATTTTTTTCTACCAGGCTGATGTTTAGCTGCCACTAATGAAGGCCGCATGTCTACTGTGTCCGCAACAGGCACCATGGCCAGCCGGCAGGTGTGCACTCAACTCAACAGTGGCTGGAGAGCCTTCATGGGGGGCTGGCCCCCAGGGTCATCTGGACACCTGCTTTGGGCACAGGCTTCCTCAAGGCACTCAGGATAGCGGCCCTGAGGTACCTTGAGCTGCTCTGAGAATTCCTTAGGTGGATATTGAGTGCCGTTTAGCCTCAATACTGAGAAGCAAGTCCAGGCACAGTGGTTCACAACTATAATCCCAGCACTTTGGGAGGCTGAGGCTGGTGGATTGCTTGAGCCCAGGAGTTCCAGACCAACCTGAACAATGGTGGTAAAAACCTGTCTCTACAAAAGAGTACAAAAATCAGCTGGGTGTGGTGGTGCACGCCTGTAGTCCCAACTACTCAGGAGGCTGAGGTGGGAGGATCACTTGAGCCCAGGAGGTTGAGGCTACAGTGAGCCATGACTGCGCCACTGCACTCCAGTCTCGACAACACAGGGAGACCCTGTCTCAACATAACAAAACAAAGCCAAGAAGCAAGAGGACCTCAGAGGCAGTAGAACTGCACTGTGTTGAGTTGGTGAGGTCAATGCCCAGAGGCAGTAGAACTGCACTGTGTTGAGTTGGTGAGGTCAATGCCCAGAGGCAGTAGAACTGCACTGTGTTGAGTTGGTGAGGTCAATGCCCAGAGGCAGTAGAACTGCACTGTGTTGAGTTGGTGAGGTCAATGCCCCATATTTCCGGGTCTTGGTTGTTGAGAGGTAGTTGCTAATTACCAAGGGTCCCATGGTCTTGGATGGGCACGTTCAGCTCTTGGCACACGGTCATGTGCTGGAAGTAGCCTCTGGTCTGGGTAAACACCACCCTGTTTTGTGGGGAGCCGTGCCCAGAACTCACCTTTTTGGGTATTGGCTGCAAGTATGCACACCCAGTTTTTAAACTCCTCTCTGATTTTGTTGTATAAACGGGTCTCATTCTCCCTTACAACTTCTTCTCCTTCTACTAACTTTTCGATGTCCTGATTAAACATCTTGATTTTCTGAAAATGATAGAAAGTCAATAGTCAGTGCTGAAATCATCTGAAAGAACTGGGACCGGTGCTGCAAGGAGACGTCCGCCCGCCCACCTCATCTCATGGGTGATGAAGGGGAATGGCTGCTGCGGGGCCACCAGGGAAGCAGGAAGTGCCACGTGGAGTCCCGCGGAAATCCTCACCTCAATCAGAAAGAACATCTTGTCGGCCTCCTGGATGGGGATGTCGGCCCCGCAGTGCCGCAGCTCCTCTGTCGCCTTCTGGTGGCTCTCCCTTATTTGCTCTTCCAACAATGGGAGCGATTTCTGAACAAGAGAATTGCAAACAATCAAACTACGGCTTAATGAGATTGGCCAACAGATTCCTTCGGTATATGGATGGGAGCCTTTTAAAGCATTCAGGAGGATCTGGAATTGTTGATTTGCGAGTTTCAGTGAGATAGAAACTGACCGAGGAGCCCTAAGAGAGTTTTGCATGCAACAGGCACAGCCCGCAGCCTGGACGGCCAGGCTTGGAATTTCGCATTCTGTTGTGCAATTGGAGCGGTGAGGAATCCGGTGGTGGAGTTTTCACTTTTGTTTTTTGGTTGTTTTTGATTTGGTGTGGTGCCTTGTATTTCAAGAACAAGGACACCTGAATATAATGTGCAATGGCTTTAGCAAAATGGGTTTTTGGTGGCAATTTGAGTGTTATAAATTGGAAAACCCCGTGTCTTGTGGTTGATGTCACACTCCACACCTCGTTTAATCCCCACACTGTGGTACACTGTCTCTTTCTTACCACAGAGGAAACTAAGGCTCAGAGAATCCCATTACTTGCTATCTTTGCAGACCCAGTGAGCAGCAGTGTCGAACCACGCCCTGCCCACCAACTCCCAAGTCCTGCTTGTAACGCTGAGGTGAAGACATGTCGGGGAGCAGTGGCCCCAGCTCCTGCCCTGGTGGACGAGGATGCTGCAGCCCCTGGGCAGGGGGAGCTCCCTGGGACTCGGAGGTGGTTAGTCAGTCAGCATGTCAATGCAAGACAGGTTCATGCCAGGAAATTGTTAAGGTCTCCTAGGTTCTTTTATGGGAGATGGTTTGTACCTGTAGGTAAAATGTATTAAATTTTGGTATTTCAGATTATCATTGTAATAATTGAGTTGATTTTTAAAAAAATTATAAATTTTAAATTAAAGCATTTGTGTTGAAAAAGTTATAAAAATGCAAGGTTTTTATTTTTGCAAAAAAAGATTTTTTTTCAATTAGACAGGGATATATGTTTCAAAACCCTCTTTTTCAAACTTAGTGAATCCCACTGGAATCAGTGATCCTCAAAGTATGTTCCCAGGAACACCTGGGAACTGAGACATGCAAATCCATGGGTCTTACCTGAGACTTTCTAAGTCAGAAACTCTGGGGCTGGAACCCAGGAATCTAATTTTTTTTTTTTTTTTTTTTTCAGATGGAGTCTTGCTCTGTCACCCAGGCTGGAATGCAGTGATACAATCTTAGCTCACTGCAACCTCCACTTTCCAGGTTCAAGCAATTCTCCTGCCTCAGCCTCCTGAGTAGGTGAGATTGCAGGTGCAGACCACCATGCCTGGCTTTTTGTATTTTTAGTAGAGACAAAGTTTCACCATGTTAGCCAGGCTAGTCTCAAACTCCTGACCTCAGGTGATCTGCCTGCTTCAGCCTCTCAAAATGCTGGGATTACAAATGTGAGCCACCATGTCTCACATTGTAACAAACCTTCCAGGTAAGTCTTGTGTGCCTTAAAGTTGGAGAACCACTGGCTCCTTCCAACCAAATATTCTTTGAGTAAGTGCTTCCTGGCTCAAGTAAGTCATTGCTTTTGTCCGATACACAGTTTAGCACCAGCCAAGTCCTGGGATCTAGGGTCATCTTTGCTCTAAGGACAAACTGAAAGCTTCCCATGTTGCTTAGCCTCATTAGTGAAGGTTTAGGCAAGCACAAAAATATCCCATTTCTCAGTAAACCAAAGTTTTTCTATAATTGATGATGTCACAAGGCCCTTGTCTGTCGTTGTCTGCTTTAGAGAATCTGTGAAAAGGGTTTTATTTCTTACAAACTGATTATTTCTTTCAAGTTTGAGGCTAAAAGACAACTTTTTTTTTTTTTTGAGACAGAGTTTTATTCTCATTGCCCAAGCTGAAGTGCAGTGGCATGATCTTGGCTCACTGCAACCTCCCCCTCCCTGGGTTCAAGCAAGCCTCCTGCCTTAGCCTCCTGAGTAGCTGTGATTACAGGCATACACCAAGCCCAGCTTATTTTTAGTAGAGATGGGGGTTTCTCCATGTTGGTCAGCTGGTTTTAAACTCTCGACCTCAGGTGACCCGCTCACCTTGGCCTCCCAAAGTGCTGGGATTACAGGCATGAGCCACTGAGCCTGGCAAGAAAATTTTTTTATACCAGGAAGTGTTAACAACATATAGAAAAACAAAAATGTGTTCTCTCAGTGTCCCTCCTTTTGACATTGCTAAACTGGTATTGCAGTTTATTTCCTTCTCTTTTTCTTTCCCCCCATTGACCAGTTCAACCCTTTGTTTGAACACTATGGACTTGTTGCTTCCCCAGTTTGGAAATTCTTCCTGTGAGTCCGTGATGGTGAGCGAGACAGTTTTCAGAGGGTGCTTGTTTGCTTGTTTGGACAGATCTGTGGGGCATCTTGGCCAACTCCAGACCAAGAGAGTGCCTTGGGCATGCTGTATTTGCCACCCCACCCATGTGGCTCACTTGGATGTGCAGGATGAGTTCAGTGGTAAGTCTTTCTGCCAGTCGGGGAACCGTGGCTGACCCTTCCTCCAGGAGAACTCTGAAACGAGACAGATCACTCATGCATTCAGGAAGCACCTGTGTGACCATCTTTCTAGTACCAGACTTTGTACGTGATAGGTGAGCAGCTCCCTGGGGCAACACGTGCCATCAGAAAAGCCAGGTGGTTCGTGAGAAAGACACCTGCCAGCAGCCTGAACCCAGGGAAGCATGAGCCAGGAAGCTTCCTTCCCTTCTCCCTTTCTATTATCCCCGCAAACTCACGAGTTAGGTCATCTTAGCTGCAGGAAAACAAGCCCAGTCTCATGGAGATTAAGTGACTTGCCCAGATTAGAGTTTTATTATACGGTGCTTACTAAGTGCCAGGCACCAATGGAAGGGCTTTATAAATATTAACATATAGTCATTTAACAAACCACTTTAGAGCAAGAAAGGCTGAGGTGCAGAGAGGTGAAGCAGCTGGCTGCATTTCCTTGGTGCAGCCACACAGCAGGCAGCGTGGATGCAGCGTGGATGCAGCGTGCTTGCCAATAGCAGGAATTCAGGAAGAGGCACACAGGATTATTCCCCAGCACCGCCAGTGCCTCTCACTGCAAGGGCTGGCTCCCAGCAAGTGGCATGCAAGGATTTCAGATTTCCCAAAGACCTTGAGAAGTGATTTGCAAAGGGAGAGAACCCTGGACTGGCAACATCAGCCTCAACCAGAAGGAACCTGTTAGAAGCATCAAGTCTCGGGCCCCACCCCAGACCTCAGGGCAGGGCAGAGCTAGCGCTATTTGAAGGAACTCTCCAGAGAGTCTGCTGCTCACTCAGCACGGAGAACCATGGCCCTAATTGTTTTGAAATCTTCCTCTAGCTCAGGGAGGAGAGTTTTCTCCTCCTGACTTCCAATAGCACTGGATGAAACCAGTATGTTTCATCCACTCAGAGCAGGAGCAGAGAGAAAGAACTAAGGAACCGGGTGATGGTTACTGAGTCTGCCTGTTGGCACTCCAGACCTTTGTGCAAGTCGTGTTATTTAATCCTAACCACAATCTTGCAGGGCAGTAGTAGGATCCCCTGGAGAAGACGGGAAAGCCAAAATGCAGAGAAGGGGGGACCCATGTTGCAGGTCACATAGTTAGCAAGCAGCAGACCTGCTCTGCTCAAAATCACTGTTTTCCCATGAGCTCTCCTTCCAGCACGAGTGACCCTTCAGGAATAGCAAGTTTCTGAATGAAGGGGAAAAGGGCTCCATTCAGTGGGAAAATCCCAGCGTCCTACAAACTAGGGTCTCCACAGGACGCTTTCTATTTAACAACCAGTTAGTGTGCAGACTCTAAACCCGTGGAGAGCTCCTCAGTGCAGCTTTCCCTGTGTGCCCTTTACAAAGGTAAACACGGGTTTCTGGAAGTTAGGAGCTCTGTTTTCAGTCCTGTTCCCATTCATTATTTGTTGGACCCCATTATGCTCATCTATGAAAATGGGGAAAGCTTCCCCTGCCTTATGTACCTCTTAATATAAGGGCTCAAATCAGAAAGCAAGTGGAAAGATTTTGGGACACCAAAGTGTTCCATGCTTCATGGCATGACACATTCCAGTGTCAAATCAGCATCACCATCAGAATCTAAGGCACGATAATTTGTCTAAATAAGTCAAGAAATTTAACACACAAATCAGGTGAGCATAGGTTCTGCTACCTGTGTAATTTGTGTATTCATCTTGGCCAACTCTGGCAGGGGGGCTGGCTTCCATGGAGTCTAATTCTAGGGCTTTCCAGAAGAGTCTCACCTGAAATGCGGATGTGTTTGAAAGAATGTCATTTCTTTCTTGGTTGCCTCTGCCAAGCTGAGGTTATTGGTGATCTCCTGCTGGCCCCGGCACTTCACGATCATGTAGCCCTTCTTGAGGGGGTATGTGAGGTTCCGAACCACATTTATGACACCTTTTTCGGTGCCCCTGTCCATTAGATCTGGTTTGGTCAGGATCCCTGTGAGATGGTTAAACAAGGGAAATGAAAAGGTCAATGATCCCCTCAAATAGGTTTCACTCCTACCGCACTCTGTGCTCCTTTTTTGGCTAAAAAGGTCTCCTGCAGCCTTGGTCCTCCGGTGCCTCATTCCACCCTCATTCCCTCATCGCCCTCTTCTTTGCATTTCTGTTGGCTCACCTCCTCACCCTCTCACCTAGTTCATTCAGTCTCCTGGACAGCTGACTTAACACATGTTTCTTGGGTGCCCACTGGGTGCCCAGCACCAGGGCAGCAGGCATGGTTGGAATGAACTGCTCCATGTGCCATGTTTCCAACAATGCCTCATTCCCTACTAAGTGTTTCCTACATAGACTCACTCTGCCCACTCTTGTGGCACCTCCTCTGATCTCCTCCCCGCTTTCCTCCCCCCAACCTGCCCCCACTCCTTCCTGCTTGCATTGGATTGAAAACTTCGAATTTCGAGTGCTTTTGTTTATGTTGCTTGAGGGTCAAATTGCCGCTGCATTTCTTGTTTGTGTGTGTTGAAAAGGTGAATGTCACCTTCTGTTATTATTTTTTTTTTCTGAGATTGAGTCTTGCCTGTCGCCCAGGCTGGAGTGCAGTGAGTCACTGCAACCTCCACCTCTCCAGTTCAAGTGTTTCTCCTGCCTCAGCCTTCTGAGTAGTTGGGACTACGGGCGCACGCCACCACACCCTGCTAATTTTTGTACTTTTAGCAGAGACAGGGTTTCACCATGTTGGCCAGGCTGATCTTAAACTCCTGACCTCATGATCCACCCACCTCATCCTCCCAAAGTGCTGGGATTACAGGCATGAGCCACGGTGCCCAGTTTATCTTCTGCTATTTTGTCCTTCATTTTAATTTATGGGTAAATCTGGCTCTCTGCACTACTATTCCTGAACCTCTCTCTCCAGATAAATGAATCTAGTAATATACAAGAAATAAAGAAGAAGAATGGATAGTTATAAGAGCTCTGCAGAGAGTTAACATACAGTGATGTGCTGGCGAATGACTGTGGGCAGAGGTGGGTGGTACAGTCTCAGATTGGTTGGACAGGGAGGGCCTCTCTCAGAAGGCAACATTTGGGCTGAGAGCTGAATGAAGGGAGGAGTGAGCCTAGTGGGAATGGAGAAGGAGCACTCCTGATCCTGGGTGAGAGGGAGCAGGGACAGCAGAACCATACTGGAGGGCTGTGAGCAAGACAGAGAGCGATGGGAATGAGATCAGAGAGGCAGGTGGGGCCAGGTCACCCAGGACGGTGCTTTCTAGATAAAGGAGTCGGGGGTTTATATGCATGTGAGCTGGCAGCAGGAGAGAATGTAAACAAGGGAGGGGCATGATCCGACTGACATGTTTGAAGGCCAGTGGAGAGGGCACTGCCGTGGGCAAGGTGAGAGCTAGAACAGCAGGAGCATGTTGGAGCTGGCCAGGCAGGAGACCATGTGGCTTGGCCTAGGTGGTGACAGTGGGGATGGAGAGGAGTGGATGGATTTGGCACCCAACTTGGAGGCAGAGTCACCAGGACTTCAGATACATTAGACTTGGAGGCAGGGGAGGGAGGACTCAAGTGGGATTGTTGGATTTGGCTTTAGAACTGGGTGGGCCTATGGGTTCTATGAATGAAGTGGGGAAGGCTTGGGGAGGAGGAGAATTGGAATGGAGTAGAAACCAAGAATTCTGTTTTGGTCATGTTTAACTGGAGACATTGGCCAGACAGCCAAATGGAGTTGTCCAGTGTAGCAAGGCGAGGGTTACAGGTACCGAGCGGGGAGTCACTGGCATGTAGATGGGATCCCAAACCATAACCAGATAAGATCACTAAATGTGATGATGTGTTCATAGGAGAGCCCAGACCATACTTAGAAGCCTGAGAATTGAAGAGGCAAGAAGACAAGGGGTCTAAGAATGTGACCTCCAGTTGGCCAGTGACAGAGGCAACCCGAGAGAGAGAGAGAGAGAGAGGAGAGAGAGAGAGAGAGAGAGAGAGAGAGAGAGGAGAGAGAGAGAGAGAGAGAGAGAGGAGAGAGAGAGTGTATGTGTGAGAGAGTGAGAGAGAGAGGAGAGAGAAGAGAGAGAGTGTGTGTGATAGTGTGTGTGTGTGATAGAGTGTGTGTGTGTGTGTGTGTGTGTGTGTGAGAGTGTGAAGGAACGGGGGAAGTTCAGAAAGGAGGGAGTGGGCAAGCAGGGTGACTGCTGCTGAGAAAGGAAAGGTGAGGATGGAGACGTGGCCATGTGCTCCTCAGTGCAGAGGGTGTGGGTGACCTTGACAGGAGCAGTCTCTGTCTCGAGTGGGTCCAGGAGCTCAGCTGGAGCTGAGTGAATAGGCGATGTGCATTTAGCGATGGCTGGTGGGAAAGCAGCTTAGTGATGGCCGGAAAATAGTGACCCACTGTTCTTTTTGACACTTGATATTCTCTAAACACTGTTATATTTTCATCAAATTTGCTCTATTCTCATCCTTTGGAAGTATTGTGTAGTCATTCAATTTCCTTTTTTTTTTTTTTTTTAAGAGACTGAGTTTCGCTCTGTTGCTCAGGCTGCAGTGCAGTGGTTCAATCTTGGCTCAGGGCAACCTCCGTCTCTCGAGTTCGAGCAATTCTCAAGCCTCCGCTTCCTGAGTAGCTGGGACTACAGGCACCTGCCACCACACCCAGCTAATTTTTTGTATTTTTAGTAGAGATGAGGTTTCACCACATTGGCCAGGCTAATCTCAAACTGTTGACCTCAGGGGATATGCCCGCCTTAGCCTCCCAAAGTGCTGGGATTACAGTGTGGTGGTGTGGGAGCCACCACACCCGGCCTCAATTTCCTTTTTAAAAGAATTGTAAAATACACATAACTCAAGTCTGCAAGGGAATAATTCAACTCATAAAAATAGGATGTTCCCCCTACTGTCTTCAGTTACCTTGTTTTTTTTTTAAAGTATTTCTTTTAAAATGGTAATAAAGTATACACAATGCGTATTTTCCCATTTTAGCCAGCTTAGAGTTCAGTGCCATTAAGGACATTTACATTGTTGTGTGACCATCACCACCATCCATCTCCAGAACTTTTTCTTCTTCCCAAACTAAAGCTCTTCACCCATTAAACAACCACCCACTTCCCCTCCCTCCAGGCTTTGGCAGCCACCATTCTATTTTCCATCGGCATGTGCCCTACTGCACTGGGGATGTCAAATAAGGTAGAACCATCCCGTGTTTGTCCTTTTCTTACTGGAATTTCACTTAGCATAATGTCCTTCAAGTTCGAAAGGATGTTGTGGTGTGTTTCAGAATTTCCCTCCTTTTTAAAGTTAAATAGTATTCTGTTTTACATATATGCCATGTTTTATCCATCCATCTATCCATCTTTCCATCTAGCCATCCATCCATCCATTCATCCATCCATCCAGCCATCCATTCAGCCATCCATCCATCCATCCAGCCATCCATCTATCCATCTATCCAGCCAGGCAGCCATCCATTCAGCCATCCATCACTCTAACCATCCATCCATCCAGCCAGCCAGCCATTCAGCCAGCCATCCATCTATCCATCTATCCATCCATCCATCCATTCATCCATCCATTCAGCCATCCATTCAGCCATCCATCCCTCTAACCATCCATCCATCCAGCCAGCCAGCCATCCATTCAGCCAGCCATCCATCTATCCATCTAGCCATCCATCCATCCATCCAGCCTTCCATCCATCTATCCATCCATTTATCTGTGAACACTTGGGTTCCTCCCCGCTTTGGGCTATTGTGAATAATGCTGCTATGAACATGGGTCTGCTTCTCTTTTAAGCCCAGCACACTTTTCCCTATTTCTCTACTTGACCTAGAATGCACACAAAATTTGTATTTCTGTGGGATGAAGCTAGAGGCCATTATCCTTAGCAAACTAACCCAGGAAAAGAAAACCAAATGCCACATGTTCTCACTTGAAGTAAGAGCTAAACGATGAGAACTTATGAACACATAGAGGGCAGCAACAGACACCAGGGCCTATCAGAGGGTGGAGGAGGGAGAGGGTCAGCAAAAATAACTTCTGGGTCCTAGGCTTCACACCTGGCTCATGAAATAGTCTATGCAACAAACCCCATGACACATGTTTACCTATATAACGAACCTGTACCTCCTGCACATGTACCCCTGAACCTAAAACAAAGTTAACAATAAAGTAAAATATCCCAAGTTAAAAAACAGAAGATGTACATTTATTTTATATTGTTTGGGGCTGTACTAAGAGCAGATCATGTATATCCTATGACTATAGTGATTGACTGAATTTATAATGATAACAGCTGGCTGGGCGCTGTGGCTCACGAGGCGGGTGGATCACCTGAGGTCAGGAGTTTGAGACCAGCCCAGTCAACATGGTGAAACCCCGTCTCTACTTAAAATACAAAAATTAGCCAGGCGTGGTAGCAGGTGCCTGTAGTCCCAGCTACTTGGGAGGCTGAGGCAGAAGAATCGCTTGAACCCAGGAGGCAGAGGTTACAGTGAGCCTAGATCATGCCACTGCACTCTAGCCTGGGGGACAGAGCAAAACTCTGTCTCAAAAAAAAAAAAAAGAAATAATAGCAAATATTTATTGATAACTGTTGATTATCTGAGTTTGTGACAGTGAGAGGACCAGAAAACTATTAATAAGTAGTACTCAATTTCCTTGGAGATGTTAATATTCAAACAGATCTTTTATTTTTTACTTTTTTACTTCTATTTTCTTTAGTGCTAACTTTGCTGACATGCTCAGATCCATCCACCAGGCGATAACATTACCTCCTTCAGCCCTCAGGAAGCCAATCCCGAGGAACAAACAACAGCACTCGTGTTCAGCACAGATGCAGGGCGTCTCTAATATGACACGTTCCAGGACCTCCCAAAGCCATGGGTCCCTCCCTCCCTTCCCGTCCCCTGGAAGCTTGGTTCTTTCTTCTTACCGATGGTCCTGTCGCCCTCGGGGTCCACCTCGTGGGCCATGCTCAGCGCCTCCGTGGTGGCAATGTCCACATTACAGGGAACCACCACCAGGTTGATCGTCTGCTGCCTCTGGATGTACTTCTTGATGAGAGCCTTGATCTGATGCCAAAGAATCACACAGAGAAAGAGCATGTGTCTCACTTCTGCTCAGCCAGCAACACGGCCAGGCAGATGGGCATGATGGCGCAAAGGCAACCTTGTCCCAGAGAGGGACTCGGGGCTTTGCTGGGCCGCATCCCGTCCTCGGAATGCCTGCCCTTGTGGCCCTGCCCTGCTTTCTGGTGATCTTCCACTTATCCTTCAAAGCCCATGGCTGCTATGTCTTCTTTCCTGACCTCTGAGTCCTGCGACCAGGGGCAACCCCTGTCTCCTCTCTACATCTCGCCCGAGACACCTTGGAGATCCTGCCTTCTATTAGAGTGACTTGTGTGTATGGTATATCTGACTCAGAAGCCCAGAGATGCCTTTGTGGCCATCAGTGACATCTTATCTGTCCCGGTGTCCCCATGCAGAGTCCAGCGTGGAGCCCCAGGCAGCAGGTGCTCAGTGAGCAATGCCTGCTCCCCACAAGTTCCCCAGAGGCAGGGCACTCAGATGTTTCCTGTGGAGAATATCTTCACGTTTATTCCTAACATTCGTGCTTTTTTACCTGTAATTCGTCTAGTCCAATCAGATTACAGTAATCTAATAACATTTCTCAGAATGCACAGGCACAAAGGAGATGTAGGCAACAGACACCTTAACATGCCGACTTTTAATATGATTTTTCCCTCCAGCAATGCAGTCAGACAAGGAAAAAGCTGACACCTGGGGACACAGTGCCTTAGACAGTACTCCATAGAATTATTTTAAGTTGCACACAGAAGACAAAAAGCTGCACAGCCAAAAACGAGCCCTTATGTGTCACATTAGCCTGAGCTGATGATACTGAAAAAATTGAGCAGAGGAGTCAAATAAAGTCGTGAAATACAGGCAGGCCCAATGAGACCCTGGCCGTGAGAACATCTCACTGGCTAAAGTTATAAGCAATCTTAATATTTATTTATTGAGACAGTGTCTTGCTCTGTTGCCCAGGCTGGAGTGCAGTGGTGCAATCACAGCTCACCCCAGTCTTAAACTCCTGGATTCAAGTGTTTCTCCTGCTTCGGCCTCCCGAGTAGCTGGGACTATAGACATGCACCACCATGCCTGGTTAATTTTTTAATTTTTAATTTTTGTAGTGACAGGGTCTTGCTATGTTGACCAGGTTAGTCTTGAACTCCTGGCCTCAAGCGATCTGCCCACCTTGGCCTCCTGAAGTGCTGGGATTACAGGCGTGAGTCACAGCACCTGGTCTTAAGCAACCTTTCTAAACAAGTTTTAATGCTAATCATTCTTAAATTGAAAACTCTCTTGTGTCGTGAGGCTCTCCGGCTGATGTCTGCAGGTGAGCAGACAGGGTTCTCCAGCTCTCTCCTTCCAGCACTGTTGACAATTCAGAAGGATGACTCTGCCATGGGAGCCGTCCTAGGCATTATAAGCTATCCAGCAGCCTCTGTGGCCTTTACCCACTGGATGCCTGGAGCATCCAAATCACTAGCAAGCCCTATCCCTTACCTGAGTTGTGACAAGCAAAAAGATGTCCCGACGTTGCCAGTGTCCCCTGGGGGTGCAACAGCTTTGGGCTGGGAATCACCGTATTTAGTGCACACTCACTCGTGTGCATTTGTGTAGGATCTCAGAGAGTGAAAACGCTCCCCAAAATAGTCTGTTTAGAGAAGGGCATGCCGTAAGGGGCATGTTAGGTGCATGCAGCAAACATTAGCGGTGCCCGCCAGGTGCGGGGCTCTCCTGGGGTTCAGAGACTCAGCGCTGAGCATACACCCTCAGGGCCTCACAGCCCAGGAGGGGAGACAGGTAATAAACACTCACAGTGGAGACCTGTCCGGGAGAGCAAGTGGAATGGAAAGGGCCAGGCATGGGGCACAGTGCATCAGGAAAGACGGCCCTGGTGGGGTGGCCCCGCAGCAGAAACCTGCAAGGAATGAGGGGTGCCCTCTGTGGAGAGCCAGGTGGGCAGAGCACTGGGCAGTGGGAATGGAAGTGTGTGCACCAGAGCACTGGGCAGTGTGTGCACATGAAAGAGTCCAGGCAAGAGTGAGCCGAAGAGACCAAGGGGTGTAGAACTCGGATGTGATGGGTTCTACAGCCCTTGTCAATCAGTGTAAAACTCCCTGCGCTGTGTGGTCTGTTCCCCTGCAGACGTCAGCAGAAGAGCCCGTGGGTGCTGCCAAGGGAATAAGCACACAAGCAAGAGAGTTTCAACTTAAGGATGATCAACATTAAAACTTGTTTAGAAAGACTGCTTAAGGCCAAGTACTGTGGCTCACACCTGTAACCCCAGCACTTTGGGAGGCCAAGGTGGGCAGATTGCTTGAGGCCAGGAGTTCAAGACTCCCTGTGGAGTGAGGGGCCACTGCGCAGTGACAGGAAATGTGGTCCCTGAAGTAGGGGGTTGGATCGCATGGGATCCTGGAAGTTTTACACTCATTGACATGGGAATCACTGGGGAACTTTAAGGAGTGACAGCATCTGACTTGTGCCTTAAAACACAAGAGTTGTGTTGGGAACACACTTGGGATGGGTGCTGCTGAGAAGGGCAGAGGCAAAGAAACCCAGCAGGAGGCGGGCAGAGGCAGAGAAACCCAGCGGGAGGTGGGCAGAGGCAGAGAAACCCAGCGGGAGGCGGGCAGAGGCAGAGAAACCCAGCGGGAGGTGGGCAGAGGCAGAGAAACCCAGTGGAAGGCGGGCCGAGGCAGAGAAACCCAGCGGGAGGCGGGCAGACGCAGAGAAACCCAGCGGGAGGCCTGCAGAGGTGGTGACCCAGGTCCACGATGGCAGCAGCTTGGGTGAGGGTGTTGGTGGAAGTGGGAAGAGATATGGGCCTTGGCATGTTACTTGAAGCAGAGCCAGGAGGCTTTGCCGGTGTACTGGACATGCTGCATGCTGTGTGAGAGGAAAAGAGAAGGGAAGGCTGACCCCAGGGGTCATGGCCTGGGCCACTGTGAGGGTGGACGTACTACTGCCTGAGATGGGGATGTCTGTGGGGTAGGCAGATGTGGGGGGAAGATCAGGTGTTGCTGGGACCCACTGAGTTTCTGTGCTGATTAGATGCTCAAGGGGAGGTGGTGAATCAGCAGCTGGAGATAGGAGCCTTGATTTCAGGGGAGAGAGTTGGGCTTGAAATACCGATTGAGGAATTGCTGAAGTGGTATTTACAGTCACGAGACTGGACTGTAGTCCAGGGAGAGACCAGGTAGAGTTTGCAATGGGAAGAGGGGATCTCTAGGGCACGGCCCCATTTGAAGGTCAGGGAAGTGTGTAAGAATTCGCCAGGGAGAGACCAGTGGGAGGGAGAGAGAGAACAGTCAGTGTGCCCAGATGCCAGTGAAGAAGACTTTCAAAGAGAGAGTGATCAAATGCATTTTGAAAACCAACACATCTGGTGGGTGAACTCTGCCAAGCGCCCATTGCTGGGAAAGTGGAGCTGTACACTAAGGCTGTGAATACAGAAAGGCCTTTCACAAGGAGTCTGGGGAGACAAATCAGGCCCGTAACAGAACCTGCCTTATTCCTTGTGAGCATTAATCAGCTTTCACATGGAAGAGAGGCATGAGTAGCAGCAATGAGATGAAAGACACATGTGTTCTTGTTGGGGGAGCTAAGATTTCCATGAGTTCTCAGGAAAATGGTGGAGAAGGCAGGGCACACATGACCAGCAGTACGACGTTGGCAGTGCCTCTGGAAATCAAAGACAATGAAGAGTTTGAGAAGAGACAAAAAAATGTGATGGGAAAGGGCAGGACTCCAGAAAGGAACACGATTGTGCAGGAAGCTCTGACTACGACCGAGCTCGTCCAACTTGCCTCATTTTGTTCTTGCTCTGTTTTGTTTTAGGTTTTTAGCAGCCTGAAGCCGTGGTTTTTGGTTTCTGTCTGTAGTAATACGTGGAAAAGAGGGATGAGGAAGGGGCTTTACTGGCCCAATCAGAAACAGAAACTAGCACCCATGACTGTACTCTCTCCTTTGGACACCCTGGATGTCCCAAGGAGGTCAGGCTCCTGAGCCACAGGAGAGCTGAAGTTCCAGGAACACGGAGGAGGATGTTCCCTACAGGAGGACAATGTCGAAGAATCAAGGAATTCCCAACAGTGGCTTCCTGGTGCTCAGAGAGGCCACCTGGAGGCCTCAGCCAGGTTGGGTAGGACAGGGCCCTGGGGCTCCAGGGAGATTGTGGGACCTGGATGGCCCGATCTACGGGAGAGAGGTCTAGGACAGACTAGAGGGGTCCAAGGAGGGTGGGAAGGTGATGGAGATGTTTGGGAATGGATTTCCAGGCTGGTCTTGACCCGAATTCTCCGCCTGCCATACAGTTCTTACCCCCTGCTCCTTCACCCTCCTAGCCTCTCACAGCCACAGTGACCATTTTCATTGTTCCCTCTAAACTCCTGTGACCCTGTTCTCCCATGCAGTTTGCTCTAAGAAAACATAATTTTCTTTCTCTCTTGAAGGCAGCACGGATACCTGGGAAGGCTCAGATGGGGAGGGAGCATGCATGGGCAGATATCCTTTTATTGTGCTTTGCAGATTTTTTTTTTTTTAAACAAATCAAAGGTTTGTGGCAACTCTGAGTTGACCAAGCCTATTGGTGCCACTTTTCTCAACAGCATATATTCACTTTCTGCCTCTGTGTCTGGCAATTTTTGTGCTATTTCCAACTTTTTCATTATTATATCTGTTATGGTGATATGAGATCATCAATTTTGGATGTTTTTATTATATCTGTTTTGGGGTGCCTGGACCATGCCCATATAATACGGAGAGCTTAATAAATGTTCTGACAGTCATCTGGTCTCTCTCCCTCTCTCTATTCCCCGAGACACTACAATATTGAAATTAGGCCAATTAATAGCTCTATAGTGGCCTCTTAGTAGAGTGGCTGTATTAGTCTGTTCTCACACTACTCATAAAGACATACCAGAGACAGTGAAATTTATAAAGAAAAAGAAGTCTAATGGACTCACAGTTCCACATGGCTGGGGATGCCTCACAAGCATGGTGGAAGGCCAACGAGGTGCAAAGGCACATCTCACATGGCGGCAGAAAGAGAGCATGTGCAGGGGAACTGCCCTTCATAAAACCATCAGATCTTGTGAGACTTAGTGACTATTATGAGAACAGCACAGGAAAAACCTGCCCCCATGATTCAATTACCTCCCACCAGGTCCCTCCCATGACACGTGGGGATTATGGCAGCTACAATTCAAGATGAGATTTGGGTGGGGACACAGCCAAAAAATCTGTGACCTTCCTTCAACTCAAAGGAAAAGTTGCATGTCTCTTACTTTAAATCAAAAGCTAGAAATGATTAAGTTTAGTGAGGAAGGGATGTGGAGGCCAAATGCTAAGCGTCTTGTGCCAACCAGTCAGCTAAGTGCTGAGTATAAAGGAAAAATTCTTGAAAGAAATTAGAAATGCTACTCCAGTAAACGTAAGATGATAAGACAGTGAGACAGGGAGGGACACACACTCTCACACAGACTCTCACACGCACACACTCGCTCACACACACAGACTCTCACATGCACACTCACACACTCACGCACGTGCACACACACTCACACAGACACACGCACAAACTCACTCACACACAGACTCACATGCACACACAGACACACTCACGCTCGCTCACACATTCACACACACACTCTTACATTCACACTCGCTCACACACACTCACTGTCACTCACGCACGCTCACACACACAGACTCACATGCACACACTTGCACACACTCACATTCGCTCACACAGAGACTTGCACACGCTCACACTCATGCATGCACACACAGACTCATGCACAAACTCACACACTCACACGCATGCACACACAGACACGTTCACACACTCTCACACAAGCACGCACACACTCGCTCACACAGACTCACACGCACACTCTCACACTTGCTCACACGCACACACACTCACTCACACACAGACACTCACACTCACGCACACAGACACACTCGCTCACACACATACGCAGACTCACATACACACACTCATGCACGTGCACACAATCAGTTGCACACACACTTGCACACACACACTCATACATGCACACACTCACACTCACACACACTCACACTTATGCACGCACACACAGACACACACTCACTGATGCACACACACTCGCTCACACACATGCACACACACACACAGAACACAACTTGCAGGTTTATATACTCCATGTTAACAAGGATGGGGCACAAAATAACTACATTCTTCATGTTCTACTTTGACAATTTCAATAACAAAATCCCTTCCTTTGTAATGATTTAAGCAAGAATTAAACAAAAGAAACTTAAGGTAGGACATTTTATTCCTAGTTTTTTTTTTAATTCTTTTTTTTTTTTTTTTTTTTTGAGACAGAGTCTCACTCTGTGGCCCAGGCTGGAGTCCAGTGGCACGATCTTTGCTCACTGCAACCTCTGCCTCCCAGGCTCAAGCAATTCTTGTGCCTCAGCCTCCCGAGTAGCTGGGACCTAATTAATTTTTATAAAAGACTTCTCTTGTTCACTTGGCAGTGTTTTTATATACTGCCACCCTTTCAGATCTTTTTGGTCACCAGGGCAAGACTTGGTAACCAAGCACACTGTCCAACGTGCATCATAGCTCACTGTTACAGATGGACCAGCCCCATAGGGTGTATGGCTGTAATTAGGAGCTGAAAATTAGAAATAAAAGAATATAGAGGAACAAAGCCCTTTAGAAATCTGAAACGTAAATGAAAAGCTGAGAGAGACTGCACACATTTTCCCCCAATATTTAAAACAATGGAAAACTTTTGCCATCTCAACCAATTTGCTTTTGATGAAATTGAGATCAAACTGTCTCAGACCAAATCACATGGATCCCCTGCAGAGGAGAGGATGAAGTGGCAGGAGGAAGCTGTGTGTTCTGACCCCACCTCTATTAGTCTGCTCTCACACTGCTGTAAAGAACACTACCTGAGACTGGGTAAGTATAAAGGAAAAAGGCTTAACTGACTCGCAGTTCCACAGTCTTAACAGGAAGTATGGCTCGCAGGCCTCAGGAAACTTACAATCACGGGGAAGGGCAAAGCGGGAGCAGGCACCTTCTTCACAAGGCGGCAGGAGGGGATGCGTGTGAGAATAAGGGAGTGCCACACTCTTACACCATCAGCTAGGCCAGGCGCAGTGGCTCATGCCTGTAATCCCAGCACCCTGGGAGGCTGATCACCTGAGATCAGGAGTTTGAGACCAGCCTGGCAAAGGTGTTGAAACACTGTCTCTACTAAAAATACAAAAATTAGCCAGCCCTGGTGGTGGGTGCCTGTAATTGCAGTTACTCAGGAGGCTGAGGCAAGAGAATTGCTTGAACCTGGGAGGCAGAGATTTCAGTGAGCTGAGATCATGCAATTACAGTTCAGTTTGAGCAACAAGAACAAAACTCCATCTCAAAAACAAACAAACAAACAAACAAAAAATCAGCTCTCATGAGAACTCCCTCACTATCACGAGAATGGCATGGGGAAAAACTCCCCTGTGATCCTTATCTCCTCCCACCTGGCCCCTCCCCTGTCATTTGGGGATTACAGTTTGAGATGATATTTGGGTGGGGACACAGAGCCAAACCATATCACCACCCAAGGATCTGTTGCAGTCTCTAAGAAATCCCACAATTTGATGGATGAATCAGCCACCCTCCTAGAGGGCTAAGAAATATGGAATTAGTCACTTAACTCAGCAAGGGATATGAGCTAATTACCCTGCTCTCAGAGAGACAGAGAATGGTGATTTGGATGTTGAAAAAGAAAGGATAAGCTCACTAACCAAGATTCTGCCCAGAACAGCAGGGCTAGAGGAGGCCACACCCAGAAGGCTCTTGGACCTACCATCCCTTAATTTGGCTGTGGTTGGGCTCTCAACACTGCCAGTGTCTCCCATAAAATGGAAGGAGCCAGGAAAGTGGCCTCAGGTTGAGTATAGGAGGGCCTTGTCTTCCCAGCCTTCCCCTGCCCTGGCGTCCACTCTGTTTCCTTGAATTCCACATGAGCTGGCTTGGCAAAGCATGACAGGGCTGGTCTGGGGACCGGCCCAGCCCAAACAGAGGCTGTGCACAGGTTTTTTTGGACAACATTTGATTCAGACACCTGAGCGAGGACTATGTTTTCAGGCAAACTCATGTTCATTTATTTATTTTTGAGACAGAGTCTCTCTCTGTCACTCAGGCTGGAGTGCAGTGGCACAACCATGGCTCACTCCAGCCTCGACCTCCTGGGCTCAGGTGATCCTCCCACCTTAGCCTCCCAAGTAGCTGGAACCATAGGCATGCACCATTGCACCCAGCTAATTTTGTTTATATTTTGCAGAGATAGGGTCTCACTATGTTGCCTAGGCTGGTCTAGAACTCCTGGCCTCAAGTGATCCTGCTGCCTTGGCCTCCCAAAGTGTTGGGATTATAGGGTGAGCCACCGTGCCTGGCCTCATGTTTAGGTGGGTAGGTTGTTGGCTTACGTGTGTCCCTGTTGCCTGGCCATCCTCCCTCTCCTCTGTGCCTCTCCTGCCCCTACCAGAGGACCACAGTCCATATTCTGATTTACATAACATTCATTTTTTAAAATACTGCCAAAAAGGACAGATTTCACGAAGAATCCAAATGTCTGTCCTCTTTCTGACTATCAGCACAGCTGTTCACACTGGGCTCACAGTCCTGCGTGACTGGGCAGGATGTGCACTCCATGAGCCTGCCAGTCCCACGGAGTCCACTTCTCTTTTTAATGTGACTTGTCAAGTCCAAGTCAGAACCTGGGCATGAGGCCCCACCTGGGCGGGTCCTACCTGAGACTCCTTCCTTATCCCTCAATATAAAGCTTCACTCCGGGAGGTGCACCAGTACCCTGGGGACCTCTGACCCCTCCCCCACTTCAGCTGAGCCCAGTCCCAAATTCCAGAAGGGCTTACCTGCAGTCCGATGTCTTGGGGCTGGTTGCCCACAGCCACCCTGGCAATGCCGGGAAGGTCGATGATGGTCAGATCTGCGACCTCAGGGGAGGTGATCTCCAGGGTGATGAGCTCATGGCTGATGCCCAGGCCATTCCCGGCCATGATGTTCTGGGCTATGGAGGTCAGGAGGGGAGAAACCCTGAGCCCTCTTTAATGATCCCTGAGACGAAGCAGTTACTGAAGGGAACAATTGCTTCTTTCCAGGGTCTGAGAGCTTCGGTGGGTCCCTGGTGTTTAGAAAACATTTCAGAGAAGCCTGCATAGGGATCTCAGAAGCCACTGAGATGGCTGTTCAATATGTAGGTGCACAGACCTACATTTCCCAAAAGACGAGAAGAAAACATACTGGCATATTAGCAATGGGACTGTGGATGGGTTCTGTTCTCTTTCTTCCTGCTTTTCAGCATTTTCCAGTGAGTGCTGCGGTAGTTTTAAAACATGTCCACCAATACTTCAACATCCCTCCCTTCGAAAGGTGGAGGCATGAGCATGGGCTAGACATAGGGGCTTGTTTCTAATGAATACATGCAGTGGAGGTCACCGTGTATGACCAGTTCCTAAATGGATCATGGCTTCCCTCTTGATTCCTTTGGATAGCCAGCCCTTGGGGAAGCTGGCTGCCATGTCACAGGGACACTAAGTAGCTACGGAGAAGCCCCAAGGTAAGGAAGTGTGGCCTCCTGCCAACTGCTTTAGTGGAGATTATCAGGTGGTTTTCCAAAGTGGTTGCACCAACTTACATTCCCACTAGCAGTGGAGGGGGGTCCAAGATGCTATTCTAAAGATCTCTTGGCTTGGGTTTGCTCACTACTCATTCTCACCCAAAACCTTTACCAAGCCTGCACACATGGTATGCTGTTGGTCTGCTAGAGACAGCTCTCCTGGCCCTGCCCCACAGAACTCATGGCTGGACAGACTCCAGAAGGATGTCAACAAACATTGCAGGATGTACCGGGAGCACTGGCGTGGCTGTGGTGGGCACAGTGGGGGTGCAGACCTCTGCAATTTGAAGTTAAGAAATTTGCTTATTGAGGATATCCAGCAGTTCCTGTTTTACAGTGGTGAACACTGACATTGGGGTCAGGACTCTCTATTTGGGAAGGGATCCTTCCAGAAAGCCGTTTGATCCAGGCAGACAGGGGTTCTCTGGGAAAGGGCCGAGCCCATGAGGTCGTCTAAAGGCCTCCCACTCAGACACTGCGTTTGCTATTCAGTAACACAAAAGGCCTTCCTTGGACTGAGTTCCTCCCTGTGGGGAGTCTTGGTACATTCAGGGTAGTTTTTCCATCTATCCTGGCTGAGTCCAGGATGGGTCATGCAGGCGGGACAGGGGAGAAGCCTTTAGGGAGTGTGAGAGGCTCCAGTGCACTCCAAGGGACTTGGCCACCAGGGCCCCTCTGGGGACAAGGCTGTGGACTCCAGGAGCAACTGAGCCTTTTCTGATCAGCCACGGCCAAGAAAAAGCATCGGGAAACCTGCTTCACATCTGGGTGAGCGGGTTCTCTGTTTGGAGGGGTGCTGAGTGGAAAGGTAGCTGGCTATGATTGGGCCTCAGGAAGACAAGTCATGGTTGTGGCAGCTGTGTGGGGGGGAGGCAGGGGTCCTGCAGCGGCACTTCTAAAGGGGGCACAGGTGACCAGTGATCCAAAAATGGAGTGGGGATTGGGCAGGTGAAGAGGAGAATCCTGGAAGGAAGAGAGGGTGAGTTCCCCATGGAGTGGAGAAAGCTGGGGCTGGGGGAGGAGCAGGAGAGGACGGGCAAGACCAGCCACGTGGGCTGCGGGCTGCTAAGGAAAGCCACCAGCATGAGATGGCTCGATGAGAGAGGACCTGGACAAGGACCTGGAGGGATGGTGGAGGTGAGTGGTCAGCTCCATGCTCTCTGGGAGGTGAGTGGTCACTGTGGGAGTGACTTGAGAAAGAGGAGAAGGAAGCGAGGAAGAGAGAGGAGCGACTGTCAGATCTGAGCCTCAGGACAACGTAGCCTACCTTTGTGTATCTCCTTCTCCACCTGGCTGGGCTCCTGCAGCTTCAGTTCAGTGTTCCGGTAGCTGATCCTTCCGGCCCACTCCTCATGGGGCTGCTTTTTCAGTTTCAGCACCAGCGGACATCTGGTTACGATTCCTGAACAAGAGGTTCCCCAACACCCTCAGTTTCCTTTCAAAGAGGGGGCGCTGGGCCCTTCCCTCCTAGGACCTGCCCCATGAGGACCTCGTCTGAGCTTTCTGGCTCTCCCTGGCACCTGGTAGTAAGTGAGGGGGTTGGATTGAGCACGTGCAAAGAGGCACAGGTCCCCGGGGGTGCTGCTGTCCTTGGGAAGTGTTCGCTGCCTGAGTGAGCGCCCTGAGCTCCAGTGGACATGAGCAAGTGGCCACAGCCGCAGTCCCCTGTCACAGCTGCAGCCCTCAGCATGCTGCCCTGTAAGTGAGGAAGCGGGTGCTGGAACTTGGGCAGTATCCAGGCTCCCCTGTCTTCCTGTGGCTGGAGTCAGCATGGCAGGTGTCTGCCCTAGGCCCTGCAATTGTCCTGGTGGGGAGCCCTGGTTCGGGTGCGGTATGGGGGCCAGCCAGAATGTGGACCAGTGAGACCCACCCCAGGGCCATGGAACCCCTCTCAAGGAGTGGGAGCCTGGAGGAGAAGCTGGACATCTGGATGGAAGGGTAACAGGAATCCTGACGGTCCCTTTGAGGCAGCATCCTCCAATGCCACTGAACCCAGGAAAGGTGGGAGCAGTGCTGAGCTCATTGGGGTGGGTGCCCTCACGCTCCTGCTGTGAAGCCCAGAGAACCCGCACACTTTGTCCCGTGGCCTATAGGGAGGTATTGCCCCATCTTCCAACTAGGGGACTCACCCGGGGTCCCATGCCTGCCCTCTGGCATTTAGACTCTCTACCCTGAAGTCTCCCTGCCCCAAATGCTGATCCCAGAGCACAGAGGAGGACTGGCTGTCACACACCCACTGTTACTCTCTCCTGCCTCATGCCCAGTGCTGACGGGCAGCTTACAGGACACACTGGGTAAAGGACCGGGCTGCAGGCAGCGGGCACTGTGGCTTTGAGGTTGTGGCAGCTGGCTCTGTGCCCTCGGGTTCGGGTTGGGTTGAGAAATGAGTAGCAGAGGCAGGAGAGGGAGCCAGGGAGGAAGAGAAGGAGCTAGGCGCTCTCCACTGCTGCAGTGCCCACCCCACCACCACCCCCCCCCCACCCCGCCCCTGCACACCGCTCTTTCTCCAGGTTCTGGAAGCTGCTCCCCTTCCTGTCCCACCCACTTCCTGGAGGCTTCCCCGTGCCTTGCTTTCCCCACTGTAAAAACCCCTTTCTAAACATTCTCCAGTACCCACTCTGAGGGTACCGCCTTTATAATTTTTCTTTATAAATATTTTGTTAAATTATAAACATACAATGGCTTCTACATTCTACATAGATGTGTGAAAGTTTGTTTCTCCAAGGAGAAGGTATCCTATTATATCATGATCCTAGATAAGAGGTTTTCAAAACATTGAGAGAATTCTTTAAGAAGCTTCGCCTGTCACCTAAAACTTACCGATTTAACCCGATCAAAGAAATGCTTCTACATTCTTACAGAGACCACTAGGAAGAGACGGCAAGGCCCCCGCACCCTGACTGGCACAGGGCAGTGAGAGCTATTTAAATGTGTATAGGGAATCTGGCCCTCTGCCACCAAGCCTGAGGAGCTGCCCTGCTGGGGCTCTCGCAGTGGCCTGTCTCTCCCAGAGGCCTGTCTCTCCCAGAGGCCTGTCTCTAAGTGACTTGTCTCTCCCAGTGGCCTGTCTCCCAGTGGCCTGTCTCTCCCAGAGGGATGTCTGTCCCAGAGGCGTGTCTCTCCTAGAAACTTGTCTCTGAAACCACTTGGTGCTCAGGGAACCTTCGTGGCTTACAGGTGGCACTGCTTGCTCTAGAGGGAAGACGGGCCATTGGAACTTACCGCTGCCTCTGGGAAGGGCGACTCCTGACAGTGCCTCGAGCACAGAGCTCTTGCCCGAGCTCTGGTCCCCGATGACCGCGATGGCTGGCAGGGCCAGGTCCTGCTCCACACCCAGAGCCCGCAGGGAGTCGATGAGGTCGATGAAGGGGCGCACCTTCTCCTCGTACTGGCTGTACAGGTTGTCCTCGGGCCCCTGGGGAGGGCAGAACAGATGCCACTGCCTTGACCCTGATAGGGTTCCTGGTGTCATGGGGAATGTGGCAGCATTTGTGCAGCTCTGATGTTGGGTTGGGGTGCAGACAGGAGGTGAGAAGGTGGCTGGGGGCACTGCTGTTAGCAGAGGCCCTTCTGTTCTCCTCCTGTTGAGGCCTCCCTGGGGCAGCTGCTGGGAGGATTTGGCTGCGGGTGTGCAGGGTATCCCTCCCGGGGAGGGGCTGGGAGCCCTGAGCCGGGAAGAAGTTCCATGAGGCAGAGGCTCCCAGCCAGAGGGAGGAGAGGGGCTGGGCTGGGCGCTGCAGAGCTGGGGAGGGTGGCAAGTGGGTGGGCTGGCGGTATGATGGCTGTGGAGGAGGCTAGAAGAAAAGCCCCAGGAAGGGGACCCCTGCATGCAGAACCCCCAGACCCACATCACAGCAGGAGAGTCTGTGTACATTCCTGATAATTCTTGGATGTGACCAGGGGCGCTGGGGACACCAGCTGTGCCGGAGGAGCAGGCTGGCAAGTTCTATGACTGTGGTGGGCTTATGTGACAGCCCTCTGCACCGGCAGCCAGAATGCCCCCTTTCCGAAAGTCTCTTCTCTGGGCTTACCTTTGCCCTCAGTTGGCTCCTGTTGCCTGGTGGTGGCTGATTGTTCAAATTGAGTAAGTTGAAGTCCTTGGCGAGGAAAGCAGCGTCCTTTTCTACCTGCTGCCAGTTCGGGACAGACATTGTTTGTCGTGGCCCCATGCTGAATGCCGGTGGTTGTTGCTGGAAGTAATTCATTTCTTTTTTCAGGTAGTGTTGGGGAGAAAATTGATTTCTCTTCCGGTAGGGCCAAGACATGTGGGCCTTAGACATGTGCTGTCTCCCCGTCAGAGCTGGGGGATGTTTTCTCTGCTACTTGGCACGTCCAATCTTCCTGACAAGCTCTGCAAAGACACAAGAGGGAGAGTGGCCCACACGTCACCAGGAAATCCTGCCTGAGGTAGCACTTTTGCCAATCCCTCCTCGCTCCATCTACAACCTACCCCCTACACACAGATGCAGAGTCCAGGGGTCCAGTGCAGGGCCCCTGACTACAGGAGGGGCTCTTGGCAGCCACAGAGCATGAGCAGGATTTCTACCGGCCTGGCACTGGGGAACAGGGGCAGTGGACTCCACATTCCCAGTGGAGAGTCCCAATGTTCCTCCTTTGTTACTTCTTTTTCTTCTTCTTCTTTTTTTCCTGAGACAGGGTCTCACTCTGTCACCCAGTGGAGAGTGCAGTGGTGGAATCAGGGCTCACTGCAGCCTCAACCTCCCCGGACTCAAGCAATCCTCCTACCTCAGCTTACCGAGTATTTGGGACTAGAGGCGTGTACCACCATGACCCAGTTAGTGTTTGTTTGTTTGGTAGAGATGGGATTTTGCCATGTTGCTCAGGCTGGTCTCAAAACTCCTGGGCTCAAGCAATCCGTCCGCCTCAGCATCTTAAGTGCTGGGGATACTGCCACAAGCCACCACACCCAGTCTCCTTTGTCACCTCGGATGGTCTGTGCCATATATGGCATCGGGCCTCTGGGGCTCAGGACAGGCAGGAGAACCATTAGGTGCAGAGATGAGAGGCAGCACCTCCTGGGCCTGCTGGAAGCCAGACCTGGTCCCACATCAGGCTTGGCCGGGCACTGGGGAAATGTGGGAAAAGCACGTGTTGGGCCCAGTTCTCAGGCTGTGGCCTGCACTCGGCTAAAGGCAGCATCGTGCCGAGACATACATTAACTTTCACAGCAAGCCTACACATTTGCGCCTTATATGTATTTTCAGGGCCAAGAAACTGACATCCCGGAGGGCCAGTGACGCCTAAACCAGGACTCAGAGCCGGGCCTGTGCTCCAGGCAGGAGCCCCCACACTCTGCCTTGCACTGTATCCCCCTTTCCTCTAGTAGTGAGGTGGATCTAGGAGGCTGAATGGTGTCCCCACAGCCCCCATGAAATTTATGTTCACCTGGAACCTGGGAACATGACTTGCTGTAGGAAAAACGCTCTTTGCAGATATAATTACGGTGAAGATTTGGAGATGAGATCACCCTGGATTTAGAGTGGGCCCTCGATCTCATCCCAGGTGTCTTTATCAGAGACAGGCAGAGGCATTTATTGAGCACCTGCTGTGTGCTGGGCTCTGGACACCCAACCAGGACACTCTGCCACTTTTGGTGCTGACAATCTGATGGTGGAGGCAAGAGTCCAAAGCTGCATCCCAGCATCTGCACAGTACATTTCCGGATGGATTCTGTCTCCCCAGCTGCAACGTTTGGGACACAGAGACACACAGGGAGAAGAGCCTGTGAGGACAGAGGCAGTGACTGCAGTGCTGCAGCCCAGGCCAGGGAATGCCAAGGCCTGCCACAGCCACCAGGAGCTGGGAGGAGAGGACAGTTCCCCTTGGGGCCTCCAGAAGAAACCAGCTCTGCAGATGCCTTGATCTGGGACTTCCAGTCTCTAGGGCTGTGGGAGAACCAATGTGTGCTGTCTAAGCCACCCAGTCTGTGGTCTTATACCATGGCAGCCTGAGCAGACTCATACAAGGGTACGAATCTGTATGTGCCAGGCACTTTCCACCAAATGGATGTCGTGGTGACCATGCCAAGCCCTCACTCCTGGCACACTGTCCTAGCAGGGAAACGCCCAGACAAATACACTAACCAACAAGGAACTCCAAGCGATGATGGAGTGTCTGGGGAAAGACAGGCGGTGGGTTTGAGATTCTGGGGTAAGGGTAACTTAGGTGCCCACTGGAGGGTGTGCCTGGGGATGGGCAGAGGATCAAGGCTTGGAGGAATTGGGAGCAGCTTCCCCTGCAGAGGAAATGCATGTGCAAAGGTCCTGAGGTCAGAATGAGCCCAGGGAATGGGAAGATGTGGTGACAGGAAAAAGAGGGAGGACAAAGGCTTGCGAGATGTGGGCAAAGGCCTTGCATTCTGTGTGGGTGTGTGGAAGGCCTTTGGAGGGTTCTGAGCTGGGCATTCATGTGGGTAAGGAGACCAGGTACAATAAAGGACAAAGCCATGGGCCAGGGAGGGCATGAAGAGGGAAGGTTTACACACAGCCAGAGTCCTGGGGCTTTGGGACAGTTAGGCCAGGGCACAGGCTCAGGCTCTGTATGACTGGATCTCATGTGTCCAGAGTTTCTCCTTCAAGCAACCTGCCACATCTGCTACCTGTGGCACCTGCCAGCTTTCAGCATGGCAGCCTGGAGGAGTGGGGAGCCAGCCCCTGGGGCTACCTCCCACCTCAGGGACCTGTGGACCACCTCCCCCTTCTCCCACCTCTCCCCCTTCTCCCATGTTTCCATGTAGCTCATTAGAAGGTCCACGTAGGATGGAGTCCAGGCATCCTCATGGGGTCTGCTGTAGGGGCCTTCCCCATCCCTGCTCACAAGCAGGACCCTCCTCCAGCTGCCTGGGATCACAAGCCTGTGTGGAGGCTCCACTCAGTGAGAAGCAGGGCTGGGCTACACCAAGGCAGCGCATCCTCCACAGGGTGGCAGCTCCATCTCCCTCAGATAAGGCCCACAATCTGGGTTCAGGATAAAGATTTAGAAAGCAGGGTTGGGGCCGTCCAGCACAAGGGCTGTCCATGGGACCCAGGGCATGTGCTGAAATCTCTTTGTGTGTCCATTTCCACATCTAGAAAATGGGGCTGACCATTCCCCCTGCGGATGTGGGAGGGTTTAGTGCAATTACTTATAGAAAGGCTCAGCAGCAAGCCAGGCATGTGTGGTACAAAGGCTGGACGCTGGTGCCAATGCTGTCATGTGGCGCTGGTCTCTGCAGAGGGGACGCCAGGCTTCTTACCACCCACTTTCTTGGAAGGGCAGGGCTGCTGGGCCTGCAGACACCCCTTCTTAGGAGGACCCCTTTAAAGTCCTCCTTTTTTCCTGGGGGGCTCTAAAAGACAAGTCCAGGGGCAATGCCCTTTCAGAAACAATGGCTGTTTGCATGCGGTGGTGAGAGCCAGCTGGATTCTGGATGCTTTGAAGCCATGGTCAACAAGTGTGCTAATCACGGCTGTGGGGCTGAGGGCAGAGAGGAGTTGGGGAGAGCAGGAAGATTTGTGGCCAGAGCTGCTGGAGGAGGAGCCGCACAGTTCCGTAGGGCCTTGGGCTGGTGACTGCCTGGAGCCATGGCGGGTGTGGGCTTCGGCCTCCAGGACACCCTCATCCTAATGACCAATCCCGCCACTTCTCTCCAGTGCCTACTCCCAATAAGGCACAGAGAGGGTGCGGTTCACCCAAAGTCACACAGTGCATGGCGGGTGTGGGCTTTGGCCTCCAGGACACCCTCATCCTAATGACCAATCCCACCACTGCTCTCCAGTGCCTACTCCCAATAAGGCACAGAGAGGGTGCGGTTCACCCAAAGTCACACAGTGCATTGGTGACAGCTGGGGCTCCTGGGCCTGGCAGACACCCTTCTTGCCACCACAAATTTATCTGCCTGAGCTCCACGGCTCCCCAACTGGGTTCCTCCCCCTCTCTGAGCCACAGTTCCTGAGTCAATGTGAGTCTTCATTCACTCCATAAGCATTTATTGAGCGCCTTCTGTGTGTCGGGCTCTGGACACCCAGCCAGGACACATTGCCACCTCTTTTGGCTCTGACAATCTGATGGGGGAGGCAACAGTCAAAAGCTGCATTCCCACCATCTGCATGATACCTTTCCTGATGGATTCTGCCTGTTTCTTGTCTCCCCAGCTGCCATAAGGCCCCCAGGTGGGGCAGGGCGGGGATTTTTACCCGTTTTTTTCACAGCTGTACCTGCAGCTCAGAGTACCTGGCATACAGTAGGAGCTTAATAAAGGCTGTGGAGGAAAAAACCAATAAAAATGGTGAAAGCATTTCCTGTACTGGAAACTGCCATGCACCCATTAAAGTGTCTTGTCTCCTAACGTGAGATGCAACCCAGTGGCTAAGCTGAAGTCCTGACTGCCAGCTGCATTAAGAGACAAAAAAGGAAACATTGATGCAGAGAGTAGATAAGATGGGCGTTTGCAGTTGCTCATGATTTGGGGATTCTACAGAAGCACAGAGGGTTTATGACATCTGTGATTGTCCCCATCAAAAATTAGTGAGGGATCAATAACTTATTAGAAGCTACTCAACATCCAGAGGGGATATCAGATTCTAACGTAGAAGCTTATAGTTCAGAGGCCGTCCCAGAAGTCGAGGGCAATGTCTTCACCGACTTCATGCTAAAAAAGTGCTTTAAACACTATATTGTGGTTCTAAAATAGTAATCGACATCTGTCCACCAAACTTTCAGAGAGAAAACTGGATCCATTCATAACTGACTCATAATCATCAACGCCAACTTCTGACAAGTAATACTGGCAATCTCAAAAATGCTTTCTCAGTAAAGGTGGAATCCGGTCGTGTCAGGACACCCGCTTCTGAGTGCCACAATCCTTCCTAGCTACATTACTCCAGAATTGTTTGGATCGTGGAAAAGGTAAATGAGTTTTACATGCAATGCATATAGGTCAGGACATTTTCTAGAATTGGCTCAGAAAGTGGTAGAGTCCTATCTGCAACCACTATAACCCAGGTAAGACGGTGAAGGCGAGGCGGTCCAGAGCCAGGGGCTCACGAATTCGAGTCTACCTCTTGCTAGACTTTCTATTCTCAGCACAGACAATACCTACTTTCCTGTAAAAAGATTGTGGGACTTACTGTCCTGGGGGGTCCTTCTTCCAACAGGGACACTTCACTGTCTGAATCACCCTTAGTATTGGAAAAACACAGAATCAATCCCATGCTGAAGCTGAGCTTGCCTGACTATGAAACGCCCTCAATCTCTGAGCTTTGAGCTTTGCCACAGCTTTACTGGCCATGCAGTCTTGGCCTTTACCTGTAGGCAGAAGATTACTCCTTAATGCCTAGGTTGAGGATATAACAGGCTATTGGTGCGACCATCTCCGAGGGCTCACTTAGTCCAGCATCCCACAAGATCATAACAGGATCCCGTACGCGACCAGGAGCAACTCCAGCAAGCCCTGACTGCTCCGTTGCATGCACACCATGAAGCACTGTCAAGGATTCACCTCACACACCAAGTCTTGTGCCCAGAGGAGATGCCAGCAAGAGAAAATGCCATCCAAACTTGTTCTGACCTCCAGCCTGGTCTCGGTCCACTGGAAGAGACCTCAAGGCACAAACTCTTCAGTCCTTTCTGGAAGGAATCATTTCAGGTCCTCCTAACAAATGCCAGGGCAGTCAAGATCCAAAGCGTTGACCCAAGTACTCATGAGTTGGTAGAAACAGGGAACAAACCCTCAAGCAAAGCGTCAGCTCCCACAAATGCCCTCAAACCAAGACTAACTACAAAGCCTCCAGATGCAAAAACCAAGAGCTATGGACCAAGCAGATGGCTTCGGGAGTGGACAGCTTCCACTCGAGATGATGAGAGCAGACAGCAATTGAACTTACTGTGACTTCCACTACAGTGAATTTCTTTGTATTTTTAAGCATTATACTCGTGGCTATTCTCTTTTTTTCAGGATCAGATCTCAATCCTGCAACCATGTTCTATGAATTTGCTTTTGTCTTCTTCCTCCCTCCTGCAGACCAAAACACATTTTCTCCCAACTCACCCTAATGACTCAGCCCATTTGGAAGTCTAGCCTCTTGCTGGATTTGCCACCCATTTCCAGCCCCAGGAACCACACAAATCATGAGCACTCCCTTACTGAATTCCAGGCCATATGTTTTCCAACACATAATTACCTTAAGATCCACAGAGTAAGTATTCTTATGCCCAGACACACACAGGCTGCCAAAATCACTCTTACCATAAAACACAACCAGCAGGGCCGGGGGCCTGAGGGGAACAAACCTGCCTCCTATATGAGCACCCTGATGCTCTTCGCATCCCTTCAGACCTGCTCTCAGTTTCACTAAAGGGAATATTACCCCATACTTAAATTTCTCATGAACAGTCATGATTGTGGCTTCCAGCTCTTCTCTACTCACATAATACCATTATACAAACATGAACCATTTGCAAGAGAAACAAACATGAAGAAAAATGCATGTGCACGAAGGCAAGATTGTTAGGCTCCCACAAAAGCGGTCATCGCTGTCTGTTGCAACAGAGCTCATGAGAAACTTTACCAACACCCCCATGCTGCCCCATGCCAACAGTCCCATGTGAGTGCTCTTTTCCTTCCATGGTGCCGATGAACCTCCATGCTGGCCTGAGGACCATCACCGTACTTTGGGGGCTCCTAGCGATACAATAGCAGGATTTAGATCCTCTCCTGTCCCATTTCCTCTGCTCTTCACAGCTTTCACAGAGGTAGCTTTGCTGGAAGTTAGATCCACAGTTCCAACAATGAACTTGAGAGTCTCTGACCTTGGTTGGTGGTTCCTGACTTAGGGCTATCACAGGCTTCTTCCTTGCTCTGGCTGGAATGACATGGCCCAGGAAAAGAACCTCTATCCCCCTGCCATGGTGGGATGGACGGCCACCCAGCTTTGGCCACGCGAGTTGGCGCCCCAGCTCTGGAGAACACTTCTGCTTTTTTACCTTTACCGAGTCTAGCGAGGCAATCCCCGAATACGAACATTGGCTTTCCAAATTCGAGAGCAGAGCTTGGGATCTTTTCTGGCTAAAGGCCAGCGGAGGGGTCGCAGGCTCCCTGGAAGTTCCCAGAAGTGCTGATGGGACTCTCCCTGCTTGCTGCACAGCCAAGGGGCGGGAGGTGGGGGAGTCGGGGAGGGGTGGTTGGTGTTGGGGGAGGTACATGCTGTTGTGGAGAGAAGCGTGACTGGTTGGAAGGCTCCGTGCTGGGAGCGGCATCATGCCCCATGCAGGGTGGCCCTGCTTTCTACTGAACACTGCTGGGAGCCAGCACCTGCAGGGAAGGCCCTTGGGGTGCCGCAGCCCCAGAGCAGCACCCCACCTCTCAGGAAGACCCGTTTTTCAGAAACTCTGAGGACAGCACAGCACTCCCACCTGCTGGCCCAGCGGCTCTCAGCAGCTTTCCTCCCTTGGACAGAGACTGCTTACTCTGCCGGGCTCAAAAACCTGCCCTGCCCAGCCTCATCCCCAGATGTCACCCCTGTGCTGACCTGGACTCCCCTCTCTGCAGTGGAGTCTTCACTTGGACCCTCTGTCTCAACCTTTCCCAATGAGCTCCCGCCCAGTCTTATATCCTCCCATTGCAGCCTCAGGTGGGCGAATCTTCCAGCAGAGCCAGCGGCTCCTGGGCTCACAGCCCCACCCGGGGCCGCCACTCACTTGGAGGAAAGATCAGGGATGTGTCAACAGCCCCGTGGCCGCTCAGCCTTCAGCTCCTGTCCTTGAGCCTCGGTCCCAGAGGTCCAGCTCCACAGGCCTTCTACACCCTACTCCTCCCATCGGGGCTGAAAGCACTTCCTGTTTTCAGAATAGCACTGGGTTCATAAAAAGTTATCTGATGTTCAGTCCATTAAAGGAGAAGGGCTGGGCAAAAATTTTATGGGATCACTGAGAGGTGAGTTCCTCTACAGTTGGCACGAACAGCTCCGCTTGGCCGGGACCCAGCACCCCCGTGGGCCTGGTGGCAGAGGTCTCAGGCGGCCTCATTCCACCGGTGTCTGGGAGGGAGCCTGGGGCTATGAACCCCCAGCCACTACATCCTTCAGAGGCTGAGAGTTAGAGCCAGATACCCTTGGTGACAAAGCCAGGGGTCCAGGAACAAAGCCGAGTGCTGATGGGAGGTGGTAGCTCAGCCTCGACATCCTCCCCTCCATGGCAGAGAGAACAAGGGAAAGGAGCGTCCTTTTGTGAAGCCCAGTATTCTTCCTTTCACGTTCTTTTTTAAACATATGTAAGACAGTCTCCACCCTCACCCTCATTTTCAGGAAGGGTGGGCCTTGCTAAGCACACCACCAGTTGATTGTGCAAGTGTGGGAGGACAGGAGCTGCACACAGACTGCTCTACAGAGCAAAGGGGTGAGAGCTGCAGGGCAGAGGCGGGAGTGAGCGGAGGGCTGACATGTAGGGGATAAGAGGCCCCTCAGGCCCCCTCCCCATTGCAGTTTAGGGAGGATTTCCAGACACAGGCCTGTTGAGTAAGGAGTGCAGGGTTTGGGTTGTATGGTGTGTGCCTGGTGAACCATCTATCTCCCTACACAATCTTCAGAAATGGCTGCAGCGCCTGTGCATGAGTCGACTGTCTCGGGAGCCTGCGGGCTGGCTGTGTGCCCCTGGAGGCTGATGGAGACCACACGGAAGAGCCGGGTGACACATGGACGGGGGGACTCACGCTGTGCACACAGGCAGGAGGGAATGGAAGTGGTGGGCTCAGGAGGCTTGGGGACGCAGGCCTCTGCTTTCAGCAGTCACTGCACTGCACTGTGGTTTCTTCTCCAGGGCTCTGACCCCACCTGGGAGATTCTGGAGCCCTGTGCAAATGCAGAGCACGAGAGCCGTGGACCTTAACTTGAAGAGAAAGTGCAGGTCTTGAGGGAGAGGAACTGAATAACCAAGAAGACAGCTGGTGAGAGAAGAGGAGAAAGGAGAAGCCGAGGCAGCTGTCAGGGTGCAGGGAACACTGAAGTTAAGAGTTCAGACAAAGATGAGGAAAAAAGTGAGGCCAGAACCCAGGACAGAGCGGCCGCGAGCCAGGCTGGGGGTGATGGGTCGGGAAGGACAGCAAGGCCTTGACCAGATGCCGGGGACCCGGAAAGGAGGTGAGGCCGGCTGAGCAGGATGGCCAGCTCTTCGTGTGACGAATGACTCTGTACTGCTGAGCTGCACAATTTGGAGTTGTTGCCAACTTCAAGGCAGCTGGTAAACCAGGGACTGCCAAATCTTTTCAAGGGGCGAACAGGCCAGGAGTCTGAAGATTAAGGAGGATGCATTCAGGATAAATCGAAAATCAGTAAGAAAATAGGAGGGGATCCTTTCTTCTCAGAGGATGAAGCTTGTCCAGTTCCTCCCTCTGATCGAGAAACGAAAAGGGACCCGGTTTATTGCAGCCCCCACACTAGCAGGCTGCGCTGCACCGTCCACGTGTAGCTGGTGGTGGGTTCTGCATGAGACACTCTCCTACGACATTTCCATCTGATTCTGGTTCCCCGGTGGAATCATTCCCTGCAAAACAGCCACTTAACCTGCTCCTGCCTGCCTCCCAGTATTGTCAACAGAAAGTATGACCCTCCGGAAAAGGTATCTGCCTTTTTTTGTTGTTAATTGCACTCAAGAATATATCCATGAATTTATTTAATCTCCTTAACATAAAGAAATTGTATTAAGATTGTATTAATCTCGTTAATATGCATTCACAACAGATTACCTTGCAGAAGCCCCAGCTGGTCAAATCTGCTCTCCTGGTGAATCCAGGAGCTCCCTCTTGTTCAAGAGTGAGAGAGACAACTGTCCTATCCTCCCTTAGCCTTGGCCATGGGAGGCTGAGCACCAAATGCTATGGTCAATCACAGTGGCCCTTAGCTATCACATGACATCATGGTCCCTCTCACATGTGCCTGTGAGGCAAGCAGGGTGACCGATCCTGAAGCAGAGTGAGGGTGTGTGTGTGAGGGGTGAGCAGGGTAAGTGATTCTGAAGCAGAGTGAGGGTGTGCGTGAGAGGTGAGCAGGGGTGAGTGATCCTGAAGCAGAGTGAGGGTGTGCGTGTGAGGGGTGAGCAGGGGTGACTGATCCTGAAGCAGAGTGAGGGTGTGCGTGTGAGGGGTGAGCAGGGGTGACTGATCCTGAAGCAGAGTGAGGGTGTGTGTGTGTGTGAGGTGAGTGGGGTGACTGATCCTGAAGCAGAGTGAGGGTGTGCGTGTGTGAGGTGAGTGGGGTGAGTGATCCTGAAGCAGAGTGAAGGTGTGCGTGTGAGGGGTGAGCAGGGGTGACTGATCCTGAAGCAGAGTGAGGGTGTGCGTGTGAGGGGTGAGCAGGGGTGAGTGATCCTGAAGCAGAGTGAGGGTGTGCGTGTGAGGGGTGAGCAGGGGTGAGTGATCCTGAAGCAGAGTGAGGGTGTGCGTGTGAGGTGAGTGGGGTGAGTGATCCTGAAGCAGAGTGAGGGTGTGTCTCTGTGAGGTGAGTGGGGTGAGTGATCCTGAAGCAGAGTGAGGGTGTGCGTGTGAGAGGTGAGCAGGGGTGAGTGATCCTGAAGCAGAGTGAGGGTGTGCGTGTGAGAGGTGAGCAGGGGTGAGTGATCCTGAAGCAGAGTGAGGGTGTGTGTGTGAGGGGTGAGTGGGGTGAGTGATCCTGAAGCAGAGTGAGGGTGTGCGTGTGAGGGGTGAGCAGGGGTGAGTGATCCTGAAGCGGAGTGAGGGTGTGCGTGTGAGAGGTGAGTGGGGTGAGTGATCCTGAAGCAGAGTGAGGGTGTGTGTGAGGGGTGAGCAGGGGTGAGTGATCCTGAAGCAGAGTGAGGGTGTGCGTGTGAGGGGTGAGTGGGGTGAGTGATCCTGAAGCAGAGTGAGGGTGTGCGTGTGAGGGGTGAGCAGGGGTGAGTGATCCTGAAGCAGAGTGAGGGTGTGCGTGTGAGGGGTGAGCAGGGGTGAGTGATCCTGAAGCAGAGTGAGGGTGTGCGTGTGAGGGGTGAGCAGGGGTGAGTGATCCTGAAGCAGAGTGAGGGTGTGCGTGTGAGGGGTGAGCAGGGGTGAGTGATCCTGAAGCAGAGTGAGGGTGTGCGTGTGAGGGGTGAGCAGGTGTGAGTGATCCTGAAGCAGAGTGAGGGTGTGTGTGAGGGGTGAGCAGGGGTGAGTGATCCTGAAGCAGAGTGAGGGTGTGCGTGTGAGAGGTGAGTGGGGTGAGTGATCCTGAAGCAGAGTGAGGGTGTGTGTGAGGTGAGTGGGGTGAGTGATCCTGAAGCAGAGTGAGGGTGTGCGTGTGAGGTGAGTGGGGTGAGTGATCCTGAAGCAGAGTGAGGGTGTGCGTGTGAGGTGAGTGGGGTGAGTGATCCTGAAGCAGAGTGAGGGTGTGTGTGAGGTGAGTGGGGTGAGTGATCCTGAAGCAGAGTGAGGGTGTGCGTGTGAGGTGAGTGGGGTGAGTGATCCTGAAGCAGAGTGAGGGTGTGCGTGTGAGGTGAGTGGGGTGAGTGATCCTGAAGCAGAGTGAGGGTGTGCGTGTGAGGGGTGAGTGGGGTGAGTGATCCTGAAGCAGAGTGAGGGTGTGCGTGTGAAGTGAGTGGGGTGAGTGATCCTGAAGCAGAGTGAGGGTGCGTGTGAGGTGAGTGGGGTGAGTGATCCTGAAGCAGAGTGAGGGTGTGCGTGTGAGGTGAGTGCGGTGAGTGATCCTGAAGCAGAGTGAGGGTGTGTGTCTGAGGGGTGAGTGGGGTGAGTGATCCTGAAGCAGAGTGAGGGTGTGTGTGTGAGAGGTGAGCAGGGGTGACTAAGACAAGCCCCAGCTGTGTGAGGAGTAGGGAGTGGGCTTCTGCGTGTCTTCATCCAAATGTCTCTTTTTGGGGAACACTTTTGCACTGCTGGTGAGAGTGTAAATTAGTCACTTATGCAGAAAGCTGTGTGGTGATTCCTCAAAGAACTTAAACAGAATTATCATTGACCCAGTGTTATATGCCCAAAATAATAGAAATCGTTCTACCATAAAGACACACACGTGTCAATGTTCATGGCAGCACCATTCACGAGAGCAAAGACATGGAATCCACCTAAATGGCCATCAGTGGTAGGCTGGAATAAAAAATGTGGTCCATATACACCATGGAATACTATGCAACCGTAAAAAAGAATGAGATCATGTCCTTTGCAGGAACGTGGATGGAGCTGGAGGCCGTGATCCTCAGCAAACTAACCTGGTAACAGAAAACCAAACCCCACATGTTCGCCATCATTAGTGGGAGCTAAACATTAAATACACATGGACACAAAGAAGAGAACAGTAGACACCTGGGCTGCTTGAAGGTAGAGGGTGGAAGGAGGGAGAGGAGCAAAAACCTCCCCATTGGGTACTGCGCTTATTACCTGAGTGCTGAATAATGTGCACACCAGACTCCCACGGCACAATCTGTCCGTGTAACAAGCCTGCACATGTACCCCTGAACTTCAAATAGACGTTAAACAGAGCGACCAACCAACAAACACACTATCCTTTTTCTGAGGACACCAGTCATGCTGGACTAGAGCTCAGCCTTCTGCAGAATGGTTAATCACACCCACAGAGACCCTGCTTCCAAGTAAGGTCACACTCATAGGTCCTGAGGTCAGGATGTGAACATGACATTTGGGGAGTGGGATGGCTGGTACAGAGTGTCAGCTTGACTGGGCTGAGGGATGCGAAGCACTGATCCTGGGTGTGTCTGTGAGGGTGCTGCCAAGGGAGATGAACGTCTGAGTCAGGGCTGGGGAGGTGGACCCGCCCTTAATCTGGGTAGCACCATCTAACCAGCTGCCAGCACAGCTAGGATATAAAGCAGGCAGGATAATGTGAAA